TCATATTAGCTTAGTAAAGATCTGCTGGGGCATGCTGTAAGCCTTTCACTGAACTAAGCATGGGGAAGGGCACAAAGATAAATAAGGTCTTGTTCTTGAGGAGCTCCCAGTCAGGTAAGGAAAACACATAAGCAAAACATAACACCACATGAAAAGTGCTAAGGCAGAGACACATGCAAAGTGCTGATAGTCCTGAGAGGGAGGACCTAACTCAACCTAGGAGTCCCAGAAGGTAGGAGAAAAAAAGAAGCCTTTCTGACACTGATGTCACCTCTCTGCCCACCCTCCACAGACCTATGAGCAGAGAAAGGTGGTGGAGTTCACGTGCCAGACGGCTTTCTTTGTCAGCATCGTGGTAGTGCAGTGGGCTGATCTCCTCATCTGCAAGACCCGCCGCAACTCGTTCTTCACGCAGGGCATGAAGTGAGCGATAGCAAAAGGCCCCAGCCTGCTCCCCAGCCCCTACACTGAGACCAGCAATCTCCCCTTGCCTTTTCCTCCCCATCTCAATCACACTCATGAATGTTTCTTCCCAGAAACAAGATCTTAATATTTGGGCTCCTGGAGGAGACATTGTTGGCGATTTTTCTGTCTTATACTCCAGGCATGGACATAGCCCTGAGAATGTACCCACTCAGGTAAGCAAAAGGGTGCTAGCGGGTGAGTCTCTGGACACAGGGAGGATGATCACCAGCTAGGTGCCACCGGGATCAAGGGGGCTGTGTTCAGTGACTTGTGCTCCAGGAAGGAGCAACTTTGGGGAGGCAGGCAAAACTGTGTCAAGTGACCACAGCCATTAGACATGTACATTTAGCTGCCTACCAGTGTTCAATAGAGGATCTTTCTTTAGGATGACAGATGGTGTAGCTGGGCAAGGACTCATACTATTTGCAGCTGAAGTAACCACAAAAATAGCCTAATCTAAGCTTAGCTGATTCCATTGTATTTAGACCAATATATTTTGATATATATGTGTGTGAGTGAACGTACTGAAATTCTGTCTGATGCCTTGTCTTGTTCAACGTCTAAGATTTTGTTGTGTTGTTTTCAACTTGGTTTTGTCTAGTTTTGGTTTTGGATTGGTTGGTTTCATTTTTTTTTTTTTTTTTTTTTGAGACATGACCTTGCTACACAACCCAGGCTAGCCTCAAACTCACAATCCCCCTGCCTGGCCTTCCAAGTGCTGGGATTACAGACATCCACCACTATACCCAGGTATCTTGTTCTAACATTAGACATGCTTTTGAGCTTTTTAAATTGTAAAATCTACAGAGAAAGCAGAAGCACCATTCTATGCCCAGCTCCACTCCCACACCCTGCATAGGTAGCCTCTCTGTTAATGATTTAGTGTATATTCTTCCAACTCATTTCCTATACATTTACATTGTTTTACTCGTCTTTCCATCCCCTGCAGCATTTTACACAATGCTCTGTACAAGGTAGGTGCTCAATTAATGTTTAATAGGAGACATTGGCATTGGCCTTGCATAGTGACAGTGCCAAGCTTGAATCTCTACTGTATGCTATTCCATGACCTTGGAGAAGCAGGCAACCATTCTGAGCCTCTGCTTCATCTGTAAAGTTTCAATAATACACACTTCCCAGGTTGGGGATGTAGCTCACGGTAGAACACACACTTACCATTTGTGAGATTGGAGTTTGGTCCTTAGCACCCCCCAAAACAAACAAACAAATAAAGAAAAAACAAAAACACCTAAACAAAACAAAACAAACAAAACTCACCTGGCAGAGGGTTGAGAATTACACATAGAAATGGCTGTGTGGAGGAGTTCATGATGGCTGCTTTGTCAATAGCAGCTTCATTCTTCTTGTATTAATGTAAATAAAGGAGCAATGACAAACCCAGTGACTATTATCTGTCCACTCTTATACATACGTTGGCCAGGGAGCTCAGCACCTGTGATTCTTTAGTGTGTGCATTTACCCTCTTTTCTCTGATCCCCCTGAGCTCCTCCAGGTCAGAGGCGATCATGGAACCATTTTTATTTCCCCGGTATCTAACAGAGGCAGAATAGCCATGGCCATTGTTTAGTTGAATGAGTGACTGTTTGTCTATCAGTGTTTATATCTGTGGTGTGTACGTGTAGAATGAACCATGGCTCAGGCTCACACTGTCCAATATGGTAGCCATTGGACAGTGGTAGCCATATGTGACCACTGAGCTTTTGAAATCTTCTGAAGCCCTAGTGAGCCTGAAGAACTAAATTTATAATTTTAATTTTCATTCATTTAAAGTTTAAAGCAGCATTAACTATTTGTCTAGCATTTTTTTTTTTTTTGAGGGGGGTACCAAGAATCAAACTCAGGACCTTACGCTTACCAGGCAGGCACTGTACCACTGAGCTATATCCCCAACTACTTTTCTATTAAATACAACTTTATTATTTTGATTGGACTATATTTCCCCTTAATTGTTGAAAATTTAGTATCTGGATTGAAATGTACCGTCAGTGTAAGAGACCTATCAGATTTCAAGACTTAGGCTAGAAAGAAGAGTATAAACTATGTCATCGATAATGTTTATATTGATTACATACATTGAAGTGATAATATTTTAGTTAAGTAAAATTATTAATTTTACCTGTTTGTTTTTATTTATTTTAATGTAGCTATTAGAAACTTTTTGGGGGCTGGGGATTTAGCTCAGTGGCACAGCACCTGCCTGGCAAGTGCAAGGTCATGAGTTCGATTCCTGGTACCAGAGAAAAACAAAACAAACAAAAAAAAAGAAACTTTTTTTTTTTTTGAGATGGTCTCGCTATGTAGTTCAGGCTGGCCTTGAACTTACTATGTAGTCTAGGCTGGTCTCAAACTCACCACAATCCTCCTGCTTCAGCCTCCCACATGCTGGGATAATAGGCATGTGCCACCACAGCTGGCTAGAAATTGTTAAACTTTGGATGTGGCTCATATTGTATTTCACTTAGGCAGTGCCATTGGTTTAGGTCATCTTTTCTTTTTGTCACCCAAAGGAACAACTATGGTCCTGATTCAGCCCCTATCCAGAATCCATCTTTCTGGTATCTAATTATAGAAAGGGGCTCAGGAAGGAAAATAATGCCCCCATTTTTTTTTTTTTTTTTTGCAATATGGAAGAATATAAGAAATTCTGGGGTATGGTGGTGCATGCCTGTAATCCCAGCACTCAGGAGGCTGAAGCAGGAGCATCCCTATGAGTTTGTGGCCAGCCCAGGCTACATAGTAAGTTCAAGACCAGTTTGAATTGCATAGTGAGACTGTCTCAGAAAACCAAAAAAAATAAAAAATTAGAAAATAAAAAGAAGAAGGAAGTTCTATCTGGTACTTTGTCTTGTTCAGCTTCCAGGCTTTTGTTACGAGAGCTTTGTGAATATCCCATAGTAGATGTCTGGGGGCTGTCACAGATAGACCCATCCTGCTCCAGAGGTGTAAAGCTTAGAGTATGCAGCAAGCAAAGGGCATCTCCCTTGGCAACTCTGGACTTCAGAAGAGAAACTCTAGGAACACTGCATGTACCTCTGACAATGACATTTATATTACCCTTGGTGTGTTCCATTCTCTTCTCTGCACCCCCGACCCTCACCCCCAAGGCTCTGACCTCACAGCGTGGGATTAGCTGCATCTCCCCTCACAGTCTCTAGTACATGTCATGGTCTCAGGTACATGGTGGACACAGTAGTGAAACCTGACTCCTGGGCGCTGTTTGTTGCGCCCACCCTTTCCTGCCTCCATATTGTCTGCCACACTGGCCGCCCTGTACTCTCCGCAGGGTAACCTGGTGGTTCTGCGCCCTCCCCTACAGCATTGTTATCTTCTGCTACGATGAAGTCAGGAAACTAACCATCCGTAAACGGCCTGGCGGTGAGGCTCCCCGTGGCCCTGCTCGCAGTGCAGCTCTCCCATCCTACCTGACTCCTCCAGACCCACTGGCTTCACCCACACCCCACTGCCTGCCTTCTCTGTGTCCAGTCCCAGCTCTCTCCCCCTCGATCCACCTCCCAATCCTCCAGTGCTCAGTGCCCCGCTCCAGACCACAGGCCTCCGACTTGCTCCTCTCCCTCCTGCTAAGGTGCCCTTGGTACCTCCCCAGAAGCCTCCTTATAGCTCACTCTGGTCTCTGCTCCTCCACAGGCTGGCTGGAGAAGGAGACATACTACTAAACCCGGCAGAGGAGCTCCAAGTGATGGGTGTCACAAGAGCTGGGACTATGAGTTTGAGACATCTGAGAGCAAATGAGTTGGGGGCAAAGACACTAGATGAATTGCCCTGGAGGAGAGACACAGGCAATCCTGAGGCTGGACTGAGGGCATCTCAGCGGGGAGGTGGGGGGGTTGAAGGGAAGCCCAGCCAGGAGGAGGATGGTCCTGTTGAATCCAGTAGCCAGTTCAGACAGTAAATGTTTGGAATAGACTTTACCTGGCTGAATGAGTCACATCTGATTTTGGGGGGACTGAGGATTCCGATATCTTCAAAGTAGTCAGGCAAGGGGAAGGCCTCCAAGAGGCCGGGAGAGGGTCAGAATCAAGCATCCTTGCTCCTGGAGGGTCTCCCCCATCTGAATGTTACTACTGATGTCTTCAAGAGCAAGGGACAAATGCCTGCTCCAGAAGTGCAGTTGGGGTCGGCCATGGTGGCATACACCTGTAATCCCAGGAAGCTGAGGCAGGAGGATCGCCTCAAGTTTGAGGCCAGCCTGAACTGCCTAGTGAGACTCTATCTCAAAGAGAAAAAAAAAAAGGTGCAGTTGGGAGGAGAGAGTTAGAAGAAGGTGGTGAGAGAGGAGCAGCCATGTCACACCCTGACGGGAGGCTGCAGCACTCACACCTATACCCAAGAGCGTGAGGCCAAACCATCCAGCCCCTGCCTTGGACCTCCTCAGGCCAGCATGAGAGTGGGGCTACAGTGGAAGCTGGAAGAGGCCTGACTTCCCCAGCAAAGAACCTCAGGTCCAAAATAAAAAAAAAAAAAAGAACCTCAGGTCCAGAGATGTTAAATGACCCGGGAGCAGTCATATGGTTAGATCCCGTCTCCAAGGCAGACTGATGGCCCTGCCCTCTGAGCCTGTTGTCAGAGTATCTCAGTGTCGTCCCATCTCTCGGCCCATCTTCTCTAGTGTAGTCTGAAAACAGAGGCTGCACAAATTCCAGGCCAGCACTCTGCTACAGAGCTACACCCCTGTGCCGCCCTTGTCTCAGGTGAGTGGGAAGTCCCGGGGAGTCTCTCTCCTGCTCACCTCCTCCCCTCCTCCCCGCCCCTCGTCTGCCCACTGAGCGCTCCACTCTGCCCCGTGGCTTAGTTCATCCTCAGGCATCTTTCAGAGCAGTGGGTGGGATCTGCCCACGAGTACACGGAATGAGAAACGCTGAGGAAAGCTGGAGGGCAGGGGCCACCATCAACTGTCACCAGGCACAAAGCACAAGTAGTAAGTGCGCTGTGCGTGGGGCACCATCAGTGAAGCCACACACATCTATTCTTACCACACCCTCCTACTTCACAGATGAGGAAAAGCAAGGTCTGCCTGGATCCAGAACTGGGCTCTTCACCTCCTTGTAGACCAGTCTTATACTGAGAGCTGGACCAAAGCACAAGTACAAAATGAAAACCAAACACAGGATGTGGGGCAGGAAGGGCCATGGACTAGGACGAAGGACCAGACCAGAGAGGAAGGCCCTCCCGCCAGCGGGGACAGCTGGCCTCTCTTTCCCCTACAGCAGGCCCTGCCCTGGAGGTCTCCCTCCCTCCGGTCCCCCTGTGTCTCACAGCACCAGGTCTCCTGGGGACAAGGCTGGATCAGTCTGGGGTCCTTCCCCGCTGCTGACATGGCTGAACCAGACCCTGGAGGATGGAGGGGCCGGGAGGTATGCAAGTGAGGTGGGGAGGGGGACCGCCAGCGGCCAGCTCCTCGGATTTCAGCGCAGGAGCTTTGGGTGTCTGGTGGGTTAAAAATACAGAGGCCCCAACTCAGGGTCATTTGATACCAGTGGCTGAGGCGTGCTAAGTGCAAGGGGCTGAAGGCAGGGGCCTGGAGGGAAGAAAATGGAGCCGAAGGTAGAGGGCAAAGCCACAGAGAGAGAAGGGGAGCTGGGTGCAGGAGCTGGAAAGGATGAGAGTGGAACTAGAGCCAGAAAAGGCAACCAGAACCAGCTGCGGCTGTAGGAGAAGACGGGGAGATGCAGGGGGGTCACCAAGGGTCCCACCTCTCACTCTTGGGCTACCAAAATCTAGCTCGTGATGGAGCAAGTCTGACATTCCAGTGTCTCCGCCCAAATGTTTGCCCTTCGCAGAAGCCACAGAAGGGGGAAACCGGCGCTGGTAGTCATTGGGAGCGTTATTCTGGGCAGGCCTCTGGCTGAGGGCTCTGGCACACCAGCCGCCTCCTGGGAGAAGAGGAGATGGGATCCTGAGGTATCTTCAGCTCTAACGTGCCATGCCTGGGCCGGCTCGAGCCTCTCCTGCTGCGGTGACAGCTGTCCCTCTTGGACCCACTCCTGCCACGCTCTTGAGATTTTCTGCAGCTTTCCTTACTTAGCTGAGTAAGGTCTGCCCCACGGGAGGGCGGAAAAGTTATTCTGCTAACAGAATTCCATGTTCCATGCCCCTGCCTGGATGCAAAATAAACACTGTCCTCCCCAGAGGAGAGAGACTGTGATCTAGTGTTTCTCTGTGGTCTCTCTCATGCCTCAGTTTACCTGTGCATGGTAAGAGCTACGGAAAGGATCCTTCCAGGTGCCCAGAGCTGAACTCCTCCACTCTGCTCTCACCTACAAGCTGGGATCTGGCAGTTACAGCCCTACTCCCAGGTCTGCTTTGGGTCTCCGGTGCACAGAATTCACCGAGAGCCCTGGCTCAGGGCACAGGGCCACCTCTTCACATTTTCCTCGTATTCTTTTTTTACCCCCAGTTTTTATACCGGATCCTTTTTGTCCTGTCAAAGACACAGGAATAAATAGTAACTATTAGCTGTCTTTGGAATCACGCACAGCCTGGGGAATCCTCCCTTCCCGCTGTGCTCTAGAAAACTGAGTCCCGCAGGATCAGAGCAGACACTGCACGCAGGAGGCGGCAGCCAAATGACATTCCCTTCCTCCTGGTGGACCTTATGGGCACAGAAACCCCGAATCTGCATCCATCCCTCCAGGATGGAATCCGGGCCAGCCCCGGCCTCCCCTGCATTCCTGGTTTAGTAGTGTTGAGTGAGTAAAGGAAACTGGCTGGAGCTCAGCCAGGTCGCCAGTCTTGGACTCGGCTCCATCTTTTATTCAGAGAATGATCTCATCCTTGGTCCTGGTTCTTTAAAGGGAACCACAGGGGGTCTCTTTCCTGCAGCCCGGACTGCCCTTTTATTGCCCCCTTCTCCTCCCCAAGATTAAAGAAACAGACTTCACCATAGAAGAGTCCCAGATTTTAGGACAGGGAAGCAACACACGTTCGTCCCCTTTGGTCCTATATAATCCATTTCGGCTCAGATGCAGGGTGACACCTCCTCCTCTTTACCCACACTTCTTTCCCTCTAGCCTTGCCCAGCACACACTGTGATCCCCAGTTACCCCTACACCTCCCCTCCCCCAGCCCCAGCTTCATTACCTCCGACTCATCTGGTCTTATTTTTAGATCCCTCGTCTCTCCCTTTTCCTTTCTTAATATGGCGATGAGCTCTTGGGCCAGCGCGGGGACAGGGGCTGAGGAGCCCTGGACACTGGGGGAGGGGAGGAAGAAGCTGCTGGGAGCCCGAGGGAGAGGTGTAGGAGGTGGAACCATGCTGGCCCTTTTGGAGCTGTCCTGGCCTCAGAAGGTTATCCACCTCTCCTGCCAACCACGGAGACATATTTAGACAGGACCAGGTGGGGACCGAGTGATGCCAATTTCAAGGGGCAGCTCCAATTCTCTCCCCGCCCCCTGCTCCTAGTCCTGCTCCTGACCCTTTTTCTCTTGGCTCTGTCGGCAGTTTCTCTGGGACCCAGCAGTGTCTTCTGTCCACTGCTCTGGGCCACTCCCACCCCACCCCCACCTGGAGCCCCTAACTCAGGATTCAGCACCCAGGGGCCCCTCCCTACCCCAGCTAACCTCCTCTGGACCAGGAGAGCCGACCCAGATCCCACTACCTCCATGAGCGCTGCAGATAGGATGGGGGCCAGAGCAGTGCTGCTGCTCCTGCTGGTGCTAGGGACACCCAAGTCAGGGGTCCAGGGGGAGGAAGGGCTGGACTTCCCTGAGTATGATGGTGTGGACCGCGTGATCAATGTCAACGCAAAGAACTACAAGAATGTGTTCAAGAAGTATGAGGTGCTGGCACTCCTCTACCATGAACCCCCCGAGGATGACAAGGCCTCACAGAGACAATTTGAGATGGAGGAGCTGATCCTAGAGGTGAGTGGGGGGCTGCAGGCCATGCACGCCTGGCCCTCTCTTTGACCCCTGTTTTACATCTTATAAGATTACTGAGGGTGAGATCTCATGCTGAGGGCAGTGCAGCAGGACCTCTGTGCTGATCAACAGGACGCAAGTGGCAGGGGACCTTAGCCTCAGGAACCCAACGTTAGGTGACTATAGAGGGAGTGCAGCTGGGGGACTGCTGGAAGCTGGTGGTACTTACTAGGCTTGGCTAGGAAGGAGGATAGAAAAGGGACGGGCAGGTACTGGAGAGGCCAGAGCTGCCACAAGTCCTGTGTACTGCACTCCCTCCCTCATTGCTCCTCTCCTAGCAAAAGCTGTTCCTGCACCACGTATTTGGGGGCTGCACCCCAACGAGGTCAACACCGACCCTAGATGTAAACATGACCAATATCTTATGTGCTTATCACTCAAGGGCTAACCGTTTAAATATCTCCTTGAGCCCACCGTGCTTCTCACTGGCCTTCCACCCTCTGCCTGCCTCCTCACTCCCTAACTCCCCATTGGTCTCTCTTGGATCACGCTGGATGGCTTCCCTGGAAATTCTTCACAGTTGAAAGAGGCTTCTGGATGCCTTCCCACTTTCTTTTCATAGGAAGGGACTCCTCATCCCCAGTCTGACCTCAGGTCTAAATCTGAGGCGGGTGGTTATGTCCTCTCAGGGCCACATTGTGCTTGAGTGTCCCTGTCCAAGTTTCCTTAGCCCCTTCTTGGGCTCGGTAGTTGCAGACAGGCCCCAGTTCATCCAGAGCTTGCAGCATGTCAGGGTGAGATACCAGGACCACGGGCTCTCGTGTCTGTGTGTCCCTGCCCGGCGCTGGAACCCACATCTGATTAATGAGCCAAGTATTTTTATCCTGAGTGCACAGTATCCTCAGCCATCCACCTGCCATCCTCCTCCCTTCCCCATCCCCCCAAGAATCACGGTGCCTGCGGGTTGGGTGGGGTAAAGCTGGAGGCTGTGTCCATGGCAGAGCGAATCTGGGTTGAAAGCTGAGCCAAGAGACTATAGAGACAAGGACCTCCGAGTACGGCTGTCCACAGCCTAAGGCCTGGCTGAAATACAGTGTCACTGGAGAGGTAGGCTTGGAGGAGGAGAGCTGTCCAGTTTCTGCTTGTCTTGCTGCCTCCAGGCAGGGGTGATAAGTGATGACCTCACCTCTGCTCTTAGCCTTCTGGCCTTGCCTATCCTCAGCAGCATGATCAGACCCTCCACCCTGCCCTCTAAAATTCTTGCATTGGGAGTCACTCAGAAGAACCTCAAGAATTCTAACATCACCCCTACTTCAGCTTGGCCTTTGACCAAGATGAAACATATGGACCAACCCTTCTGGAGGGAAGCTGCCCCTCAGACGCTCTTCAGCATCCCGCAGGACCTGGGGAATTCAAGCCCAGTGTCTTAAAATTCAACATAATCACACAAGCTGGGCGTGGTGGCCCACGCCGTAATCCCAGCACTCAGGAGGCCGAGGCAGGAGGATCCTTGCGAGTTCGAGGCCAGCCTGGGCTACAAAGTGAGCTCAAGGTCAGCCTGAACTGCATAGAGAGACGCTATCTCAAAAAGACAAAAAACAAAACAAAATCAACATAATCACACACTGCTGGGAGGTGCACACCTGTAATCCTAGTACTCTGGAAGCTGAGGCGGGAGGATCACCATGAGTTCAAGGTCAGCCTGAGTTACATAGTCAGTTCAAGGGCAGAACTACAAAGAAAGACCCTGTCTCAAAACAAAACACCAGGGGCTGGAGATTTAGCTCAGCGGCACAGCGCCTGCCTCTCAAGGTCATGAGTTCGATTCCCGGTACTGGGGGGAGGGGGGCAACAAAAAAACCAAAACCAAAAAAAAAAAAAACACACCAGACGAAGAACAAAAAGCCAAAGCACCTGCCCAGTATGCACGAGGCCCTGGGCTCCATCCCCTGCAAAACAAAACAAAAAAGCATGATTCACTTAAACAAAACTATTTATGAATTTAAAGTGGAACCAAAGACAAACCAGACCTGTGGGACCTTTTTTAGAGATATTGTGAATCGTAGCATAGGGTCAAGGTCAACTCCTAGGCTTCCTGCAGCCTAGCTGACCCAACTTGAAAGCCGGAGGTGGGGAAGGATGGTAAATAGGAATCTCGGGAGCTAATCTCAATCCTCACCCCTCACTCCAGTTAGCAGCCCAAGTTCTAGAAGAGAAGGGTGTTGGCTTCGGGCTGGTGGACTCTGAGAAGGACGCAGCTGTGGCCAAGAAACTAGGTAAGGGCGGGGAGGGAGGAGCAAAGGGGCGGGCCTGAGAGACTGGGGAGGCCTAGGGTGGAGGACTTGAGGGGCATCCTGGGATCTGAGGGGCTCGGGAACCCTTCCACCGTCTCTTTTGAAAGGAGGAAGCAAAGAAAATACTGAGACTGGGAAGGTAATGGGTGGGAGTCCCAGCCTCTCCTCTTCCTTGTAGAAACCCATGCTCAAATTCCAGCACGAGATGAGCTGGCCCTCTTTAAGCTTACCCAAACAACACGGCTAGATGCTTCAGGGGAAGGGAAGCCAGGGAATGCGAGCAGGGCTGGAGAAGAGGCCCTTGGGAACACACTTGTTTCTTCCCTTCCCCGGCCCCGACCGAGTGTCGCAGCATCGGCCACCAGGGGGCAGCACAGGTTCGAGACCGGGTTCCGGATGTGGATGGGGGAGGGGTGGTTAGTAATAGTGAAGTCATCTGGTCAGTAATGGCAGAGTTAAAGGACAGGGCTGAAAATCAACTCTAAGAGTTCTCAGAGGAGATAGCAAGAATATGTCTCTGGTCACGGCAGGCAGAGAAAGGAAGCAATACTGCTGGAATAATCATCTCCCTGTTTCCTGCCCTCAAACCCTAGCTGACCCTTTTCTCCCCAGAAATCCTCTGCCACCAGGCCAGCCACCTCAGCTGCATCAGGGGCATGGACAGCAGGTGTAGGGCTGAGGGACAGTGGAGGAAGTCGAGGTAGGGAAAGGGAGAAGTGGGGTCCAGTGGGATCATGGAGTGGGCTGTGACCTAGGGGTTAGAAGATTGGATCTGAGGGAGGGCTGGGGTCATGGCTCACCTCTCACTCACTCCCTAGGACTAACTGAGGAGGATAGCATTTATGTGTTCAAGGGGGATGAAGTCATTGAGTATGACGGCGAGTTTTCTGCTGACACCCTGGTGGAGTTCCTGCTGGATGTGAGTACTTCCTTAGACTTCACTGCCTTGCTTTAAGACACCACTGCGCAGCTAGGCATGGTGGCACATGCCTGTAGTCTCAGCACTCGTGAGGCTGAGGCAGGAGGATCTTTGCAAGTTCAAGACCAGCCTGGGCTACAAAGTGAGCTCAAGGCCAGTCTGAACTGCATAGCGAGACCCTGTCTCAAAAAAACAAAGATACCACAGTCCCTTGTCCCTACTAGTCCCAATCTGATTTCCCCTTCACACACACACATACCACACACCACAGACCACCCATGATACACACCACAAAGTCCACAGTATGATCAAATTATACAGTGAATATTTAAGTTTTAAATATTGATTATGGTAAAAGACACATTGCCATTAATCTCCCTCAAAATACTCCCCCATGTTTTGAACAAATTATCTCATCATTCCTGCCACTTTCTGAAGGAGTTCTAGAAGTCTGCTTTTGTGATCACACCTTTATGAGGTGTGATCTAAAATACGGTGAATGCTGCTGCTAAGCACCATCCAATGGAAAGACAGGCTGGTAAAATGTCACTGTGTCCTCATCCACCCTACTTGCTGGATCTGGCACTGTGTGATTTATGGTTCTTTCCTAAAGTCAAAATGACTGTGAAAGGTAAACTTTCTGAATCAATTCAGAGCATCAAGGCAGCCATGACAGCACAACTAAAGACACTCACGAAAGAGGACTTCCCGCACTGCTTCAGAAAGTGGGGAGAAAGATGGAATAAGTGTGTTCAAAACAAAGCCAGGCGTGGTGGCACACGCCTGTAATCCCAGCACTCTGGGAGGCTGAGGCAGGAGGATGAGTTCAAGGCCAGCCAGGGCTACAGAGTAAGCTCAAGGCCAACCTGAACTGCATAGCGAGACCCTGTCTCAAAAAACAACCCCAAAAAATGAGGCAATGTAATAAACTTTTACTGTAATAAACTTTTTTTTTTTTTTGTCTTTTTGAGACAGGGTCTCGCCATGCAGTTCAGGCTGGCCTTGAGCTCACTCTGTAGCCCAGGCTGGCCTTGAACTCACAAGGATCCTTCTGCCTCAGCCTCCCAAGTGCTGGGATTACATGTGTGCGCCACCATACCCGGCTCTGTAATAAACTTTTTTTCTTTTTTTTTTGTCTTTTTGAGACAGGGTCTCACTATGCAGTTCAGGCTGGCCTTGAGCTCACTTGGTAGCCCAGGCTGGTCTCAAACTCGTAACGATCCTCCTGCCTCTGCCTCCCGAGTGCTGTGATTACAGGCATGCACCATCACACCTGGCTCTGTAATAAACTTTTAAAAATTTAATTCACCATATTTTTTAATCAGTAGACCAGACACATACTCACAACACACATATCACCCGAAGCCCACAAACCAGACATAACACCCAACATAAACATCACACACTATATATACCACATACTACATAGCCACGACCACCCCTTTCTCTCAACATCTAACCCTTCTTCCAGTTCTGGCCTTCTCCTTAGATCAGTGATGTTCACTGAACCTTTTAGAGGTGTCAGCTATAACAAACAGCCTGCTGTGGCATGTATGCCATAGATTCGCCACCACTGCCCTAGATCCTGCTCCCTCCAGGTGCTACCAGTAGGACAGAAACACTTGCTGCCTTCAATATCCCTGGTCTTCTAGGTCCTAGAAGACCCTGTGGAATTCATTGAGGGTGAACGAGAACTTCAGGCATTTGAGAATATTGAGGATGAAATCAAACTCATTGGCTACTTCAAGAGCAAAGACTCAGAGCGTGGGTAACCCTGAGACTCCACTTTTCCCCTGCATGCCCACCTCTTCAGCCAGCTCCACCTCATTTCCTCTTTATTTCTCCTGCATGCTAGCCCCATTTCTGCTCTAATCTCCTTGAACTCTGGGGATTTCCCCCACAAGCACATCCAGCCTTCTACCTGCGCCATTATAACCCTAGGGTATTTTACCTCCCTCTCGGATGACTGGAGGGGTGGATCTCAGAATGAATCCCGCCCGCCAAAGAACTGGGGACAGACCTGGGCGAGACTGATTCCTAAGCAGACCCTCATTCTAGACTGACTCTACTTTCCTCCCTCAGATTACAAAGCCTACGAAGACGCGGCCGAAGAGTTTCATCCCTACATCCCTTTCTTCGCCACCTTTGACAGCAAGGTTCTCTCCGCTGCACCCTTAACTGCCCTCCGGCCTCTCCCAGAATTCAGTGCAGCCTGGTTCCATCATACTTGCTCGAATTCCCCACCCCCAAATCAATTTCTGCCCTATAGATTTTAGAGCTGAAGAAAGGAGAGGCTTTTATTACCTCGCCCACCCCCCTCATGTTAAACGGAAACCCAGAGAAGTTAAGACATCCATCCAGTGTCACAGTGGCAGTGATAAGGACCTAGATTTTCTGCTCCCCTTCCTGATGTTTGCTTCCCCCAAAATAACTGCTTCTCATTGTGATTCTGTGCCTCCCGCTGCTGTATTCACCTCCTATCTCCTGCCCCAAAGGTGGCAAAGAAGCTGACCCTGAAGCTGAATGAGATCGATTTCTATGAGGCCTTCATGGAAGAGCCTGTGACCATCCCAGACAAACCCAACAGTGAAGAGGAGATTGTCAGTTTTGTGGAGGAGCACAGGAGGTAGGAGTCAGAGTGCCTCTCTGAGCAAGATAGGCATCTCCTAGGGCTAGCACACCCACCTCTGAGGCGGGCTTGAGGAATGTCAGCTAACCAGGAAGCCAGGCCCCGCTGGAGATGAATGTGCTTCCCGGCACCGGTGCTTACTAACACTCTGGATTTTGCACCCTAATACCTAGCACTGCACCTCGCGTAGGGAAGGTAATCTGTAAATGTGTGGAGAGCACTGTGATGTTGACTATGACTCAAATAACCTCTGTCAACACAGGAGCGATGCGTGCCTATGGTCAGCTGGGACCTGCAAAGTACTATTGTTACATTTAATCTTTTTAGCAATCTGAGACAGAAACCTTTCCAGAGTGGAGGGCTGGGTGGAGATCCGAAGCAGGACTTTAGCCCTGACCTGTCCCATGTCTTCCGTACACGACTCTATCAGTGGTTCTCAGGGAGGCAGAGGGAGCAGGAGGTGGGGGAAAGGGTTTGCCCTCCAGGGGATATTTGGCAATGTCTGCAAATATTTTGGGTGGTGGGGAATGCTGCCACTGGTCTTTATGGCTGGAGGCCAGCTACACATCTTGCAGTGCACAAGATACCCTCTCCCAACAGAAAATTATCCAGCTCAAAATGTCCGCAGGTCTGAGGTTGGGAAACCCTGCCCCTGTACTCACAGACTTCTTCTCCTCCTTCACAGTACTCCACAACGGGAGATACCCACTCATCAGTATAAATACCACTTGCTGTCTCCAGCTCACTGTGCCCCCTTCATCAGGGCAGGAGCATGTTTGCCTGGTTCAGCTCTACCCAGCACCTGCCTCAGTGCTGAGAACATATCGGGCCTTCAGTGTTATTGAATGAGTGGATGAATGAATGCATGAATACCCTCATGTCCATTCTTTTTGTTTTGTTTTGTTTTGTTTGTTTTGTTTTTCTTCCGGTACCAGGAATCGAACTCATGACCTTACACTTGCCAGGCAGGTGCTTTTGCTGCTGAGCTAAATCCCCAGCCCGATTCTTACCTTTTTCCCAAAGGTCTCTCTTCCAGCCCTCGCTACCCCTCTGCCCCTCATTTTAACCCTGCAATGATATGGGCCTGGTGCTTAGAGCTTAGGCTTTGCTAGAAGGCTTTGTTCTGGGCTACTAGCTGTCTGTGCCCTGAGCCTGACCCATAGACTGCCCTGCTGTGGGGACCCTCCGGAGGGAGATGTCCTTCTCATGCACTGAGTAGGGACTCTTTCTGTCTCTTCTAGATCAACCCTGAGGAAACTGAAGCCTGAGAGCATGTATGAGACCTGGGTGAGTGCCCTTGGCTAGGCCCAGGCCCTCAGGGAGCAAAAAGGTGGCTGAATAGTGGGGCTCATGCCCACGTGTAGAAAGAACAGTGCAGGGGCTGGGGATTTAGCTCAGCGGCAAAAGTGCCTGTCTGGCAAGCACAAGGTTGTGAGTTCGGTTCCCGGTACCGGAGGAAAAAAAAAAAAAAAAGAACAGTGCAAAGGGGAAATGGAGGGGAGAGCTGTCTGTTCTGAGGAACGTGCGGGCAGATAGACATAAGTGGATGGAAATGACAAGGGTGGGGTCCTGGGCTCTGGGGTAAAGGAATCACCAGAGCAGGTGCGGCGGCTCTGAAGTTGACAGGGTCACTGTCATGAGACTACTCCTGGTCCAGAAGCTGGCTTTCCATGAGCCAGGGTCCAGGAACACCTAGGTCTTCCCCAACCCCGACCCTGCTCTCCCTGTCACCCCCACAGGAGGACGATATGGATGGAATCCACATTGTGGCCTTTGCAGAGGAAGCCGATCCCGGTAAGGCAGGAATACCAGCTCAGCCTGAGGGAAGGCAGGGCGGCTTGTTTGTTGAAACACAGGCCTTATGTGGGAGGCATTTCTAGGAGTTTACAAGCAACCTGGGGCTACACATGTGGAGCTATAGGAAGCAGGGAAATAGATCCAGACTCCTGTGCTGGTGTCCCTTGGCTCTCTTCCCATCTCACGTCATACTTGTGTTCCTTCCAAGATGGCTACGAGTTCTTAGAGACTCTCAAAGCTGTGGCCCAAGATAACACTGACAATCCCGATCTTAGCATCATCTGGATTGACCCTGATGACTTCCCTCTGGTAAGAGGCCCTGCTTGGGCTCTGCTCAGGACCTTGGACTGTGGCACCTTCTAAGTGAAGGCTTAGTTTCAGAGTTCCTATTCCCAGCTCCTGACCTGGGGCTTGGGAGCTCTTCTTGTTGCACACTTAAGGGTACTGTGGGCATGGAGGGCAACCTGAGCACAGGGAAGGAGGATGGGAAGTGAATCATATGGGACATAATACAGTTCCCAGAGCAGAGGCCAGACATGACTCTCACCACTCAATCGCAGAATCATAGCAGAGATTCCCTGTCTTAGTGGATGGCTTGAATCCCCAGCACCTAGCACCTGTTGTTGAATAACTGAATGAAATGTGAGGAACACTGCTGATTCCCAGGTATGTTTACCTTAGCCTAGAGATGCAGGAACTGAGCCAGGGAGAACAGGGATTTGCCCAAACACCCAAGTTCAATGTGCAGCAGATCCAGGATGACAATGGGAGTTTCCTATCTCCTTTTCCTCAGGAAGGAGAGGCTGACATGCCCAGCTGAGCCTCCTGAGACTTTCCCTTGGGATTTCCATTCTTTCACCGCTTAGCTCTTACGTGCTGCTTTCAGGCCCTACTGCTGCAGCTGTCCCCTTCTGCTATTCCCCTCTTTATCCCTGGACTGACCCGCACACTTACCCTTCTGGACCCGTGTATACGTGAATTCCACTAAGTTGCCATGTTTGGATCTCTCCACAGCTTGTTCCCTACTGGGAGAAGACATTTGACATCGACCTGTCAGCCCCACAAATAGGAGTCGTCAATGTTACTGATGTGAGTTTCCTTCCTTCCTCCCCAGTGGAGCCCCACCTCTGTTTCTCAGTGGAGCTAGCTCTCCTCTGCTCTGCTACCTGCGCCCTTCCCAGGAGAAGGAGACATTCCCAGTCCAATGGCTGGATTCGTGATCTGAAATTGCCCTGTCCCTCTCCATTGGAATTAGTTGCTCTTCCTTCGGAGCCCAGCTTCTTTCCTTTCCACAAAGTCTTGGAATCCTTCCCGTCCTCAGACACTCTCCCTCATCTGCATTGAGAATGTGCCTTTCATATGCCTGTCCATGCCTCCTGTCAATTCCTTCAGTAGACTTGGAGATCAAGGGCAGACAACTCATATACCACACAGCACAGGCTTCAAAACCTGTTCGGTTGACTTGAATAAGTCACAATCTTTGCTTTCGTAGAATTAACCAGTCTTATTGGAAGGGCAGGTATTCCATTAACTACAAGCCTGGATTGGATCAACTTTTTTTTTTCTAGTATGGGGGATGAAACTCCAGGCCTTCACACAGAGCCCTTTTTTATTTTTTAATTATGAGACAGTGTCTCACTAAATTACCAAATTGCCGACACTGGACGCAAACTTGTGATCCTGCTTCCTCAGCCTCCTAGAGCACTAGGATTATAGGTATGTGCCACCAGGCCTGGCTTTGTTGGATTGAATAAACTTTACATAAAGATACAAATAAAATGTTGGGAAGGCACAGAAATAAAAACAATTCCTGCTTGAGAGAATCAGAGGCTTTGAAGAGAATATGACATTAAAATGGGCATTATATTGTACAATGTATAGGATTTCAACAAGTGACCATTAAGAAAAGTCACGTACAAACTGAGGGGGAAAAAAAAACAAGATTGAACATGAATAGTAGAAAAATGAATATCAGAGTTGGGAATAAGCAAGTAGTTTGTTATGATTTGAGAGAGTCTAGGGATCATTGAAGATGATAACCGGAGAAGCAGGTTATGAAAGGCTTTGAATACTGAAGAATCACTGATTTTATTCCGTTGCCCATGAAGAGCCACACGTGGTTTTGCACGGCGGACATGGCAGAAAGCTCTGTTCTTGAAAGCTTGGTATGGTAAGAGCATGGGAAACAACTGAAGGGAGGTCTTCTTGGAATCCAACTTTCCAGTGCACTCCCACTTTCACTATTCCAATCTAGACTTTCACCTGGTCATAAAAGGTATAGGACGTGAGGGAGGGTTGCAGAGCCCAGTGAGTGACAGGACATGTCCAAAGACCTGTTTGGAACTTACCTTTGGTCCCCCGTTTGTGCCATCCTCTAGGCGGACAGCATATGGATGGAGATGGATGATGAGGAGGACCTGCCTTCTGCTGAGGAGCTGGAGGACTGGCTGGAGGATGTGTTGGAGGGTGAGATCAACACAGAGGATGATGACGATGATGATGACGATGATGACGACGACGACGATGACTAGTTGCTGTGGCAACCATCTCCAGCCCCATCCGATCTCTTCACGTACCTTCTTCCCTTTGCTGTCTATCCCTGAGTTCTTCTGGGGACACTAGGTCATTCTCTACCATAGGGCCTGCTGGGGTCTATATATTGGGTGCTGAGATCCAGTTCACCCTCGGGTGATGAGGAAAGGAGTTACTTTGCCCTAGACACTCGCCCTGCTCTCTCCTGGCTCTCATCCTGTGACTTACCTGTATTTATTATTTGTTTCTCCCATCATGCTCTATCCTCTTTCTTGTGGTTCTCTTCTTTGCTGTATCGGTGGGTAGCATCTCTATGCTGTTCCTTCTTTGTACAATCCTCCCCATTCTCTCAAATCCTATATCCTCTGGCCGTCCTGTCCCTGGCCAGGAGGAAGGGAGGGTACAGTGTTTGAGGCTGTATCTCAGCCCCTTCTTGTTAATGTATTTGGGTCAAATGCAAGGCCTCAATAAAGAGATCTGGGGCAGCATGAGCAAGTGTCTGTTGATGAAGTCTCACCCCTATGGCAGGAGGGAGGTCACCAGAGGACAGGAGCTTTAGGTGTGGGTGCCTTGTTAGGAATGAGCTCGGGAACCATGACAGGAGGGGGCTGGGCTCTCTCCAGGCAGTTATCCCAGAGAAGCCAGGATTATTTATCAGCTTCAAGTCAATAAGCCTTTTCTGAACACATGGTGTTTGTCCAGTGCTGCTGTTGGGCTCTGGAAGAACAGAGAGTGCCAGGCCTGTCCCTGCTCTTCAGCTGATGAGCCACACTGAGAAGTCAAACAGGCACACTAAACAATTGAAGAAAAATACAAAGCAATCTGTAATTAAGTGATTATATGCTGCTTGATCGCACCCTCCCTGTAGCTCTTATTGGAACATCGAGACTGATTCCCAATTATCTTTCCTTAGTCGGGCCTTCTCAGAGGCTGCCCCTCCTCTGCATTCCCATTGCACTTCCAGTGTGTGCCTCCGTCTCAGCACTCAGCACATTCTACCGTTGCTCCTCATTTACATGTCTGTGTTCCCAACTAAACTTGTGCCCCTCAGGGGCAGCAATCCAGGGCCCAGCACATAAAAAGTTGTTTCTAATGTTATAGTTAAAAGAAGAAATGAAGGGCTGGGCGTGGTGGTGCACGCCTGTAATCCCAGCACTCAGGAGGCTGAGGCAGGAGGATCATTGCAAGTTCGAGACCAGCCTGGGCTACAAAGTGAGCTCAAGGCCAGCCTGAACTGCATAGCGAGACCCTGTCTCAAAAAGACAAAAAAAAAAAAAAAAAAGAAGAAGAAGAAATGAATGATAAAACAGAATGGGCTCAGAAGAGAGACAAGAGTGGGCCTGATGACTTCATAAAGGAAATGAGTCTTTTCTAGGCCTTAAGCTAAAGAATGGGATTTGATGGGAGGCAAAGGAGTTGAGAAGGGAACATTTTAGTTCCTGGAAACATCAAAAACACTGGGAGGATGTGTTTGTCTTACTGGGGGTGCAGGGACCATCAAGACAAGAGGAGCAACTCAAGCCATGGCTGTGAGATTTGAGTAAACATAATGGGGCTGGTTGGTAGAAGTCTTGGAACGTAATCCTGTGAGCTGGGGAGGAAGAGCAAAATTTCACTTGGTAGCAATGACGACCATGATGGAACTGGAGGGGAAAGAGGATGGAGATGCCCAGGGGAAGGAACTCGATTCATAACAAGAGACTGTTATAACAATTAGAGTGGGTCTGGGAGAAGCTGGACCCAAGTGGTAGTCATGGAATAGAAAGATGTCGACTTTTGTACAGAGGGTCCCTCTTGACCTAGGGCTGTTGGGGTTCTTTGAGGAAAGAATCCACAATCGCTCCAAAATAGGACCAAAATAGGCTGCGGTAAGCACAAAGGAACTGGGAGCAGGGAGGGCTAAAGTGTCAAACAAACCCATGTATAATAGGCAATATATTTTTCATGGAGCAGGTGTACAGGTATTGCCAGGAGACTTAGAGGATTTCTAAGTATGGAAAAACGAGACCCAAGGTTAGAGACGTTTTCATTCTTCACAGTCAAATCCAGGAAGCTCTTAGAGAAGTTGGCAGGAGTGTGGAGAACAGAAACAATGTATTCATCCAACTTGTACCCATTTAATAAATGTTTAATAAGTAGAATGGAAACCAGGCTAATATTTTTAAAATATTACGATGCTTACTCTCTAGCATGGAGCTGCAAAAGACCCTGAACTAAGTAATAGTTTGTTTTTTTTTTAAGCACCCATCTGTGCCGCAGCCCCTAGAGACATACTATTTCTGACTCTCAGGACTACCTAAGATAGGCATTGGTAATGCCATCTTCCTGGTCAGGATACTGAGGCTTAGGGGCACAATTTGCCTGAGGAAAGAGTGGTGCAAGCACGAACCTGTGCCTGGCTGCCTATCTTACTCCACATGAACAGGACATGTCTCTGGAAAAGTCATGCAGTTTCTCTGCATCTCAAAGATGAATCAACCAACTAGGTTTCGACCTTACAACAACACACAGGGAATGAGATACATACACAAAGGCAAATTACAAGGCTGTGTGCGGCTCTCAAAGGGACAGTGACAGGGCGCACTGTGGGGGAGGAAGAACAAAGGGATGGACTGTGAAACCGAAAGCAGCAGGAACCTGTGCTACATCTAGGGGTAGTGTAGCCCCAAGAAACGGGGGGGCCTCACCTAAGGCTTTTGGACAGAACGAGTCTCTGCAAGATCGGGACTGAGAAAGACAGGGTGGATGTTCCGGGAGGTGGTACAAACCCTGGTGGTGCTCACACCTCCTCCTGGGCCGGGTCCTGCCAGAGTTGAGGCGAAACCCAGTAGGATGGAGCTGGGGTGAAAACACATGCTTCCCCAATTCTCTCTTTCCTCTTTCAACCTGATTGAGAGTCTGGGGGAGGAAAGTCCCGGAGGTGGAGGGGAAGTGAGAGCTGCTGGGCCTGGGCAGAGGGGCAGAGCGCGGAGATAGAGCTCAGTGCAGCTTTGTTAGTTGTCTATATTTGCATGCTGAGCTCACTGCTGCTCTTTTTCTCCCCAGAAAATAAAATTACATCATGGTGGGGGGAAGGTAGAGGGGTACATTGGGGAAAGGTGAGAGTAGCAAGGGGGGGCCAAGTTGGCATCTCCGCAGAGAAGGTCCATGGCTCCAGATCAAGTAAAGGAGGTGCCCATCGGCCCCTGACCCCTACCTCCATTTCCAGTGTAGACACGCCTGATCCTTTACTACCACTCCCCTGGCCCAGACAGCTAGGCAGAGGTTCTCCCCAAATACCAAAGCAAGTAGCTAAGAGAACTCAAACGCGAAGGCATGCTGAATCCCTAAACTCGAATCTACTCTTGTGCTTCCTTGGGGTCCCAGCCACCATGGTCACCCAAAGGTCAGAAGGGGAGGAAGGTGTCCCACTGGCAAAGAATTAAATCTAAAACTTGTTTCGCAGTTTAGAGGGAGAAGCTTCCCTACTCCTTCCCTCAGCCCAACTCTACCCCCACCCTAGGAGCCTTCTAGAACCCAAGCCCCTCCGTCCCGCCCCCTCGCCTCCCCTCCCCCCCCTCCCCGCCCCCCGCCCCTCCCCGGCTCTGACATCACCGGCCAGCCGGGTGGGGTGAGGCGGCGCTGGGCTCAAGCTCGGCTCCGCGAGCGGAAGAGGCGGCGGCGGCAGAAGCCGAGGAGGAGGCTCCAGACGCTGCTCGGGAACCGGGACCAGGAGTGCCCGCGCCCTGAGCGCTCCGCTCCGGAGGCGGTGAGAGGGGCGAGGGGCAGTCGTGCCTTGGGGAAGGGACTGATGTGGGGTCTGGGTTTGGAGGGGTGGCGATCGGGAAGCCGGGGGCCGCGTGGGGAAGCGTGAGGACCCCGCTCTGGGTCGGGCCGCCTGGGGTCGGTCTCTGAACGTGCGGAGAGCAGCGCGCATCTCACGGGAGGTAGCGTGGCTTCCACCGCCCCTTCCACGCTGAGCGGCAGTTTGGGATCGCAGCGGGGCCTGAGGATCAGGATGCAGCCTGCTTCCCGCCCAGCCGGCTCAGCCGGCCAGCTCCGGCCCCTCCCTCCCGCCCTGGCCCTGGCCTCGCCCCCGCTGGCTGGCCGGCGGCCGGCGGCTGTCACCATGTGCCCGCACTCCGGATGGCTGCACCTGGGGGAGAGGTGGGATCCGTGAGAGCTGGGGGAAGGGAGGAGGAAGGAGCTGAGGGTGTAGAGGAATGATGTCTCTAACGTAAAACCTCTAATTAATCTCATTGAATCCGTGTCAAACTGACGGGCACAAGCACACCTGTGAGAGACAGCCAGCACATACAGTGACACACACCCACGTGACTCTTACACACATCGTCTCGCACACACCAGATCACAACTGTCCAGCACTACACACCCAGCTGCCCACAGCAACCCCCAGCCACCTAAGTGGAGTCTTCTGGACTTTGGGCTCAGAGAGACCGATCTGTAGGACAGCTGAGTGGTGGACAAAATGGCTCATTGTCCCCATGTCCACTCTGATTTCCTGGGCAGCTTTAAAATCCTGTGTCACTCTTCCAGGACAAGGAGACAGGAGCTTGACCACTCTTAGCTGCGTGAGGAGGGTGGATCCTGCTTGTGGCCTCTCTTGCAGGTCCAGTTAGAGCTTAGTGTGCTGGGAGGGGCCAGCTTCTGGGCTTCAGAGTGGCCAGGGGAGGAGAAGGGAGTGGAAGAAAGGGAGAGGGAGAAAAAGAATGAGTATGAGTCAGCCAGCATGAAGCTCAAGTCAGAGGGAGAGAGAGAATGAGAGGAATGTGAAGAGACAGACACGGAGAAAGGGACAGAGCCAGAGGAGGACAGAGACAGTGCCAGGGAGCCAGGGAAATGGAGGAAGTGAGAGAAGCGGGTGGTCAGAGGAGGCAGAGAGTGGGCTAAAGAGGCACAGAAAGCAGTGAGGGCGAAGCGAGGAGTTAGGGGGAGTATGCTCGGTGTGCGTGTCTTGTATGTCCAGGTTGTGTGTCTGGCCGCCCGTGGGTTGTCAGAGTGATTAGCATTAATTGCTCTTCCTTAGGGGAAACTGCTAGCGATGCCCTAGGCTGCCAGCCTCCTTACTTCTGTGACACCTGCCCCCATCATGTGTACATATGTTGTCAGGCATGAAGAGGGTCGCAGAATCACAGCAGCTCATTCCCTCACATCCTCACCTACACTGTCAAGATGGACATCCCCACCAAGCATAGGCAGCCAGCCGCTGCATCCTCAGGCCCCTCCCATTAAACGCAGTCTTATCTTTTTCAACAGGGAGGCTCACTCATTCCTAATGGTAGCTCTGAGTACCGAGACAGGGACATGGAGTCAGGGAATCCTGGAGGCCTAAGTGTTTGTGGCTACCACCAAATGGGACAGGTGAAAAAAACAGAAAGGGATGAATGCCCATTAAAAGGACAGGAGGGAAGAAGATCAGGGAGAGACAGAGCAATAGGAGCAGGCCATGTCACATCAGATGAGCACAAACAGAGATGAGCTAGGGAGTCACGGGCCCTGTTCCCCTCCTCACCGTGATCCAGTGCCAGCCGTCTCCCGCTGCCCCTTCTTGGGCCTGTTCCTTCTCTCAGATTAAGAGCTTGAGGCTCAGCCCCTGCCCCCGTGCCCAGGGGTTGTTTGTTTTGCTTCCTGAACATTCTGAGGCCCATATTCCTGCTTCACCTTACTCCTAGGCTGACCCTGAAGCCTAAGAAGCTTTTCCTTCCTTCCTTTACAGGAATAAAGATACCCTGCCCCCACCAAGCTGGATAGAAGCTTGGGAAAGAAATCAATTATGATATTAAAGGAAATAAATTTACAGGACTGCTTCAGTTTGGGGCCCAGATGCGATTTAAAATAGGATAGCTAAAGCCCTACTCTGTCCCTTCCCGTCGCTCTGCTTGTCCTTGACTACTTCCTCCAACTTCAGGCAACACGACTGACAGATTTGAGGGCCTAAGAGTCCCCTCCTGCCCTTGCAGGGATGTCTGGGCCCTTGCAGCTGTGTGGGATGGCCCCTCCCCTCGGGTTTAGGCAGCTGCAGCAGATGTGAGGGAAGGAGGGGCAGCAGCTCCTAATCCTCAGGCTTCCTTCTCCCTCCTTAAATTTACTGCGATTTGGAACCAAATGCTAATCTACTGCGAATTAATGTCAGAATGCACAGAAATTCTCCTGCTGCTGCTACCTCCTCCACAGGTGGTTGTCCTGTGTGCTCTGTGCACTCCCCCACCACTCCTCAGATACATTTTGCCAGGCTTCCAGGCTTCTCAAAGCACCCCCACCCAGGCCTGCCTCGTCCTCCCCAGTGTCCAAACAGCATCACCTGCTATCTTCCCAACTCCTACCCTCAGTATATAGTGACCCCTACCGCCCGTCCCTCTCCCCCAGCATCCTCAGCTAATGCAGTCTTGTGAGGGCTTTGCCTTGGGCCAGTTTATGAGAGGAAGGAAGGAAGGTGTGAGGAAGCAGCAAGCAGTTTACAGAATGAGCTGGGAGGGAAGGGGACTGACTTCCTGGCAACCTCAGCTCCGGTTCCCAGTTCCTGCCCTGGTATCCTGTCCCAAGAATGGCCTCCGCCCAGGCTGCCTGGTGTTCCCCGGGCAGCCCTCTGCACTGCTTCAGAGATCAGGAGGGGTTTTCAGAGCCAGGAGGGCAGAAGACTTCTGCACAGGTCCTGAGGAATTCTAATCTCTGATGGGGAAAGTGACATGGAGGATAAAGGAGCCATGCTGTGCTAAGCCCCACCAGGGCCAGACCAGCCAGAGAACAGTTGATCAGTGAGACTTGAGAGCCACGGAAAAGAGATTCCACCTCCCTGCACCCGGAAGTTCCCTCCTAACTCTCTTGCCTTTGCCTGTGCTACAACACCTGGGCATGGACAAGGCAGGAGATAACTTTGCCTTTCCTGGCTTCCTCAGGGGCCTATCCCTATTCTTTCTATCTCTTCTTACCACTCTCCACACTCCTCCCATCCAGTGGTGTTATTGTCCTGATGACTGGGGGGGGTACCCTGAACTGAGGTTGCTATGGTAACAACAGAGCTGAGGCTGCAGCCCTGGACTCTTCGCTCTGTGCACCCCCTCACCCCGCCCCTTTGCAGCCTCAGTCTCATTCTGATTCCCAGCCCCAGCACTGGCCCTCCCTTCTGTAGGCTCATCTCACCCCTCTGCCTGTGAGCCTGTGGTTGTACACCTTTTTACTTACACACACCCTCAGCTGGTTCAGACACATACAAACACATCCTACACACGCTCACAGCCAGTGCACCCACAGCCACATATCTAGTGCTGCCACACTGGCACGTACCTCCGTTACCAGAACATCCGAACACACCCACTGCCTCCTCCACACACCTGTACACACCCGGGGATCAGCATCCATACATAGGATCCTGACAACACACCTCTCCCCCAGCCACATTAACACTCCTACCCGCATTTCTCCTAGAGCCCTCCTTGTATCTATTTCACTCTTAGAAAGCTCCTACCCACCGCCCCCAGCCTTTGTGGGCGGGTGTGTTACACACATTAATCCCTTTCCACCCACTTCCCCCATAGATCTGTTTTAGATTCAGAGCCCTAAATCTTAACTCCTCCCAAGAGATTTACACACAGACAGACACACACGGGCACACCTGCTTTCCTCCCCCCAGGATTTCTTATATTTACAAACTCTTCTATGTAAAAGCAAGGCAGTCGGTATGACCCGAAATTCTGTCCACTTTTCCAGCTGAGCACTGGCCCCCAGTCTCCTCCACCGGGGCAGGATCTTATTGTCTCTTTCCCATGCTGTCTTTCCACTCCCAGCTTCCCCTCATTCTCTGGACCCCTTTCCTATCATCCCCCTATCATATCCCTCTTTTCTGTCCTCTCGGATTATCAGTAGAGGCGGGGCTGGGCTCCAGAGCCTGCTGCTGTGACCTAGATTTCAAAGCGGAGATGGTTCCTGGTGCTGACAGTCAGAGAGCATTGTTCCTGGCCCAGCCTAGCAGGGCCTCTGCTGGGCCCTTCTGTTTGCACCTGGGTGTGCAAGATGAACGTGCCTGTGAATGCCTGTTTCTTGTGGAGGTCGTGCAAGTCCTGCTGTCTGGCTCATTGTCTGTTTGTGTCACGGTGCCTGCCACCAAGGGAGACTTGTTTATTTTGGTCCAAGTAGGGGGCTGGGAATGGGGACTTCTGGGTCCACACCTCTTATTGTGTGATGGTTTGTCTCTGTCTCAGTCCCCCTTGTAAGAAGTATGGGAAATAAGGGTGTGTCAACATGCCCTCTTTGGTCTGCTACATTTGCAGCCCAATGTTGGGATGATTCGTGGGCAGCCTCATCTAGCTCCATACTTTGGTCTAACTAGTGTTTATGACATAATTTACTTTTAATGCTTGATGTACTACACTTATTAGAGAAAATAAGTCCTGTTTTGAGCTCACCGCTACAATTTCACATTTTATTAAATCCACAAAGTTCATTCTAAGGTCTGACCTTTCTTCCTGTCTTAGCCACAGTTCCTATTTTAGTGGAGGGAAGCCTCGAATGTTCTGTACCTTCTCACCTAAGGATCATGAAAGAAGGATGGAGTGAAGGCCTAGGTGAGATCTGGTCTTGCCTGGGCCCTGTGAGAAGCCATGCTGAAGGTAGTGCCAGCAGGACATTGAAGCAAGAAGGGGTGGCAGTCCCCTTCCTGCCACTCTCCCAAAGCTGCATCTAAACTCCCCTCCCCCACCACCCAGCCAGCCTGGGAACTGGGCAGGGGGCCAGAGCCAGCCGCTTGGTATTCTTGGGCGCGGGGGCTGCAGGCACAGCACAAAGGCTAGGAGACAGGGCTGATTAGAGGCCCAGTAACCATCGAGGGAGAAAATGGGCTCCACAAAAGTGGGGGTTGCCCATTGCTTCCCCCAACCCCAAGCCCTAATGACTTAATAAAAGGCTAAGCATGGAGGGGCCAGGGAACCATCAGACCAAGCAACTAGGCATCCATCCAAATGAGTCCGTAGTGGGATGGTGGGAGTTGAAGTGAGGGACCCCTCCGCTTCTGAGGAAGAATAGACACTAGAACACATGAGCTTCAACCAATCCCTCCAGGTCCTTGTGTGCTTCTCACCGCTACAGCAAACCTCTCTCTGGTTATTGTTTTTCAGTGTTTTTTTTTCTTCCTGACGGGGGGAGGGGTTGCAAGTGGGTGGGGTGATTGGGGGGGGACTTGGAGACAGCGGGTGAGAAAGTAGGGAGCAGGTTGCCATGGTAACCGCCTCCTCAGTCAGGGGAGCTGTTGCCAGGGTTACTGTTGGGGGGAAAGATAGTGGGGGGCACGACTTGTCACTCTAGGCTCCAGTCTGGCTCCTAGCTTGAGTTTCTTCCTGTGTATCCCCATTGCCTAGCCTAGGTCCTCCTTTCACCCTCCAGCCCTGCCCCCCACTCGGTGTTCTAGGCCCATGCCCGGCAGGGCAGAGTGGGAGGTGGGTGGTGTCAGGAAGGGAACTGGACCCTGTACACTAAACTCAGGCTCCTCTCCTTTGTTGCCTCCCAACCCTAGTCATGGCCGAGTACGGGACTCTCCTCCAGGACCTGACCAACAACATCACACTTGAAGACCTGGAACAGCTCAAATCAGCCTGTAAGGAGGACATCCCCAGTGAGAAGAGTGAGGAGATCACTACGGGCAGTGCCTGGTTTAGCTTCTTGGAGAGCCACAACAAGCTGGACAAAGGTGGGGGCGGGGCTCAATTCATTCAGCAGATAGAGATGATCTCGAAGCTCTCAAGCGCAAAAAGTGCGCCTCTCTATGATGAGGCAGAGTAAGAGTCGCTTAAAGAGACATGCACGGAGCTCTAGTGCAGAATTCACACACACATTTTTCATTGTGCTCCTTGTCAGTAAAAAATGTTTAAGTACTATATGTTATCACATATATAACAGAACCCAAAATAGAATTTAGAAGTGGCAAAATTTAAAATAAAATCCAAGCTCTAACATTTTCTTACTTTTAGACAGTATTGCTGGGGCAGGGGTCAAGGGACTAGGAATAGAGCAGTCCACCACAGTGTGGGGCTCGAGGGAAGAATGAAGACTTATGATAGCTCTGAAAGCCAAGTGGGATTCTCAGGCAGGCTCCAAAGGAGGGCTTGCTAGGCGGAGGACAGTCACAGAGGTGCGAGTTTGTGGTGTTTCTGGAAAAGCAAGAGTCCTGCTCAGCTTGATGGGCACACTGCGTATGTTTAGAAGTAGCTGGGAAGTCAACACTGTTGCGGAAGGCCTTCGGTAAGAGAGTTCTGAAAGAAAGGCAAGTGACTTCCGGGCCCTTCATATAGGTTACTCTGACTGTAGTGGGTGACAGGGAGGAAGGCTGCATGGAGAGATTATAGTTAGGTTGTATCAGCAGTCAGGGTAGGAGCCACAGCAGTAGGTCTGAGGGCATCTGTAATCAATGGAACTGACCAAGCCGAGGAGATCTTTCTTCTGGCTGCAGCTGTGCCTTTCCCATGTACAGCAGCCTTTCTCCAGATTGTCTGGAGGCCGCACCCCTCCTGTCCCACATGTGCTACTGGGAATTCCTCCCGATGTTCAGTTGGAGGAAAAGAAGAAAAAGGACAGGGTGGGGTGTGGGTTATGTGGACAACAGTTTTCCTGGAACAGTACTCTTGGTGGGGGGCGCTTAGCTTCCTTTTCCTGGCTTACTAGTCCCTCTTGTGCTGCTGTTGCCCTCTCTAGTAATGTGAACAGCTCAGGCTTGGTTCCCAAACACTGGTCTGGCAGAACAGGGGGAACTGCCTGTCTGCAGACCCTGTCTGCAGCCCGGGTCTGACCCACCTTCCGGCCTCTTTCCAGACAACCTCTCCTACATCGAGCATATCTTTGAGATTTCCCGCCGTCCTGACCTACTCACTATGGTGGTTGACTACAGAACCCGTGTGCTGAAGATCTCAGAAGAGGATGAGCTGGACACCAAGCTAACCCGTATCCCCAGTGCCAAGAAATACAAAGGTGAGAGGCCAGGGCTTCAGCGTACTTGCACCCTGCCCGCTCCCCTTATTATTCTTGGAGTCCATGCATTTGGGGAGAGAGGAGGCTGATGCCCAGTGGGCCTGCCGGTGTCTCCACAACCTCCATCCCTGGACACATCCCTTTTTGCCCCCCAGACATTATCCGGCAGCCCTCTGAGGAAGAGATCATCAAATTGGCTCCCCCACCGAAGAAAGCCTGAGCAAAAGGGAGGACGAAGAGGAAGGTTGGACCTTCATCGGACCACTCCCTTCCCCATCCTCCATGGGAGGGGGCAAGGGCAACCCCCCATGTACCCACTTACTAACCTGGTCCTAACCCCCTTACTGTGCGCGTGTGTGTGCGTGTGCGCACGCTCTGGCTGTCTGTCTATATGTCTAACTCATCTAGTTCCTCCTCCTCGTGAGGGGATGGGGGTCAGGGGATAGGGGGGTTTAGTTTCCCCACCCTAGGGGAGAGATGGGGGCTATTTCTATGCAAATAGAAATTGGCATATTCCTCCTACTTCCCTTTCCTCCACTCTCCCCTCACATCTTTAAAGTGTGGAAGCAGAAAAGACCTGCATTTTCCTACATTGAGGAGCTGAGGTGGAGGTAAGGTATGGGAGAGGTGGGCAGATAAAAGGAAAAGCAGTGGGAAGGAAAGGTGAAGAGTCCACTAGCCCCTACACGGAAGGGGCAAAGGAAAGCCAGGGTTCAGTATTTGTGCCCCTTTGACCGACTGTCTGGAGTTGTTTCCTGCTGCTCCTCCCTCAGGTTGAAGGGCCTAGGTGACAGCAGGTCCCTTTTTATGCCCTTCTCATGGGCCTAGGATAGGTATGAGCCAGGGATCTAATGAGAGCAGCCCACTGGATCCTTTCCTGGTCCCAAAGATCTAATCCTATGGAGCAGCCAGCATTTGATCCCTCCCTACTCCAGACAATGCTGGGAATATGCACCACTGAGCCTGAATTGGGGATGCGGGCAGAGAGGGGCCCTTTTCCACACCTTTAGTCCGACTCAGACTGTTTGCATATATTAACCCTGAACCTAGGGAGATGGAGAAATGAGATCCATAGATTTTAACCTAAACCTGCCTCCACCATAGGGTTTCCACGTGGATATTACAGGCAACCTTCTCTTTGCTTAGTCTGGGACACTCCTAAGCCAGAAATAAGTGAAATTAACCAGTGTTTTCCTTTGCACTGATCCCCATCCCAGTTCAATCCAGGTGGGGGCTTGCTAACCCTTCTCACTTGATACCCTGGCCTCTTGGGCTTGTGGACACCTCCTAGCCAAATCACTGGAGTACAGTGAGTGACCCCAGCCTCCTGCCTGTCCCAAGACACCCTTCCCCACCCTGACCGTGCTAACTGTGTGTACATATATATTCTACATATATGTATATTAAACCCGCACTGCCATGTCTGCCCGTTTTTGTGGTGTCTAGCATTAACATTGTCTAGGCCAGAGCGGGGGTGGGAGGGAGTGCCACAGTGAAGGGAGTGGTGGAGTCAAACTGCTACATACTCCAAACAGAGAAGAAAGCCTTCCAAGACAAAATCAATAACAAACATTAAATTTACATGCAGACTCAGAGACTGGAGAAAGTTGAAGCTAGGAGTTACTAGGATGCGGGAGCAAAACTTGATAGTGGGAGGGGAGGGCTGGCTGTTCAAGAGGGAAGCCAGACTGGTTAGAAAGCGCCCTTGACTCCTAGCCCAGACGTCTTGCCCATCCCCTCTGGCCATTGCTGTGGACACCTGCCTTAACAAACACACCTTGAGGACTCCACTGTTTTGCCTTAAAGGACCTTCCCAAGTCTCACCAGCTCTGTCTGGCTTCTCCCTTAAGAGTACTTATAAATTGGCAGTGGGAATGAGGATGAACTGGCCTTCCATTTGGGGTATTACATGAGAGCAGGAGTAAGAGAGAATAAGTTTTCCTCGGAGAAGAGAGGGTTATTTTCAGCAGTCTAGTAGTTTCTCTCTGTAAGGCAAAATAATCTAAAAAGACTAACCTGCCCTCCCACTCTCTGTACTGCTGTGAGGTTGCCCCTCTCCTGTGCTCCTCTGTCTGCAGTGTGCACGGCCTTGTTCTAACCCTGGAATAAAGGTGACTGATTGTACTGTACTTGACTGATTCTAGAATTTCTGTGATCAACCAGGATTTTGGAGGCTTTGAATATCCAGAAAGGGAGGGGAAACAGTATTTATCCCCTACATCCTTCTTTGCAGTCTATAACAGAGGCCCAGAAAATACCCCAAATAGTACCCCCACTTAGTCCTTGTCTCCTGTGTACAGTGAATGGGGCCTATTCCACTTACAACTGTCTCCATCTGGCTGAGCCCTGAAAACAGGGTGATTCCAGACTGAACTCTAAATTTGATAATCACCAGAGGGGGAGGGCAGTGCCAAGCACCTGTATTGGAAGGAACAAAAAAAAGTCTGTCGTGAATGAATGGACCACGTATCACACAGAGCAGCAGTCGGTAGGGGAAAGCTTTACTGAGAAAATACAACAAATTCCAGAGTGCATGGTTTTCAGCTTACTTCATCACCCTACTAGTCATAGGGACACAGACCACGTAATCACTACACGTTCCCTACCTCAGGAAGGAAGTGCAGTAACTAACTTCTGGTCTGAGAGCTGCTAGGAAAAGGGGCGGGAGGAAGGAGTATCTGGGAATACCATCTTCTCACTCTTTCCCCCTCCTCCTTCTTGGCCTGGGTTTGTAGAATCCAACTTTCCCAGGATGCTAAATTCCTGACTGGATCTTGTATAAGATGGGGGCAAAGAAATAGCAGCAAGAGCATTTAAGAGCAAGAATTCAACTGGGACTTTCAAACTCACTGACCAGTAATAAAAACAGCTGTTCAAGCCCCAGCCACCAGAATCAATCCTTAAATTATTGACATGTCCACAATCCCAGGATCTCAAGAGGTTGACAAGCATAAAGACAAACCCAGGAAGTTCTTCCTTTCAGTCTTTCATTAGGAAGGGTGCTAGTACGTAGAACGGGATGGCTTTTTAAAAAAAATCAAGCAGCTAAAGGTCAAAGAAAGTGTGTACCTTCTATCACACACAGTACCAGGAGAGTCTGCCATGGCAGTGTCCTTCCTGAAGTGCTTTATAGACAGGCCAGCCTCTGGTTACAACAGCCATCCTGGGAGCTTCCCGTAAGACTGAAGGAGAGGTAGGAGATCTGAGACAGTTGAATTGTTTTTCCCAACTCCTCCACTGAGACAGTGAAGGGCAGAAGTGAGGGTTCTTCCATTCTTGAGCCTTCCAATACCGAAGTGTAAGCCCCACACTTTACTGGCCACTTGTAAAGGGGAAGATGGCCCCCGGTGTGACTTCTGTATCAGTACTCTCGCTCATTCTTCCTTAAGTCCCTTTATTGCATTCATAGAGAATATATAGGTATTTAAACTTTGACAATAATTTTAACTTGAACATCCAAGTTTGACTTGCTTTTTAATATATTTATAGATATAAAATTAGGCCTCTTAACAGTGATAGGGACAGGGAGATTGCTGCCACCAAATAATTTTTTAGAAAAATAACGTAAGAGGTAACATCCTTCCTATTCTTCCTCTACCCCTGCCCCTCCTTCCACCTCCTCAATCTCCCTCACCAGCCCTATTTAGGGGCTGATGGGATGATGAGAAAAGAGTGAAGGATACATAGTCAAGTGCAAAACACTGTGGTAAGTACAGAAAATGAAGTGCAGAGGACAGTGAAGAGTGCGGGACGGTTAGGGGCTCTAAGGACTTCTCAGAAAAACAGGAACCTGGGATGGGGTTGCTGGTGCGTGGCGGGGGAAACCAATGAAACTATCACAGACTTTAAAAAAAAAAATAGTCAAAAACCTAAACCAAAGAGAGAGTGACACTCCTATTCTCCACTCTGGCCCCTTGGTACTGAACAACCAGTTGTTCCCCCCACAACCCCTGCAAAAGAAACACGGGAGATTATAAGAAAAAAAAAGCCCCATTCCCTATCCTAAACCAGTTAATAAAATAGGCTTTCTCTCCTCCAGAAAAAAGGCTTCAGGGAGAGGCAATTTCTGCTGAGTCCTTTGCATCTCGCCACAAAACCCCATGGCAGGGCTCAACTCCCACTCCTAGGTGATCTTTGTTGGTTCATTTCTCTCTGGTCTGTCCTCCTGGGATGTCTTTCTTTTATCTAAACAAAAGGTCCAAAGTGCGTTTCTGTTGAATGCAAGGGCCCAGGACAGGAAAGGGGTGCCCAGGCAGGATTGGGTTGGCAGCCCCAGCCCGGCCCTCCTAGGTGTGAGGCCTCAGGATGGCATGCACTGGACCCGGTCCGGGCCTTCCTCCTCGTCCGAAGTGTCTGAGGAGCTGGGAGACTCATCAGAGTCCGCGTCTGTGGCCCCAACCCCAGGTTCTCTCCAGCGCTGTGGGATGGGAAAGCCTTATTAGTAACTTCCCTGGAACAAAGACAAGCCTGTTAGGTCTTAGCTAGGCCAAGAATCAGAATTTTTCTGAAAGGGCCAGATAAGTAGATATTTCAGGCTTGTAGATCATAAATTCTCTGCTGCAAACATTCCACCCTGTCATTGTACCATGAAGGCAGCCACAGACAATACAGAGAATGGGTGTGGTCACCATTTCCAATACTGTTTTATTTTCAACAACTGGCAGTATGCCAACTTCCAGCTTGCCAATCCCTGCCCTCACCTCTTATAGCATGACAGTAAGCACAAATGGATCACCCGAAGACTGACTCCTCCCCTTCCTTCTGCAGTTAACTTTATGAAGATGCAGGTATGGTGACAGAGAACAAGACGCCTTTCTGCTGGTGCCTCTGATGGGGATAGGGACGGTGGATGGGAAATCCAACCAAGACCACTTGATTCCTCCTCAAACTATGAGGACAGGTGCACTGGAGCTTTTTCAACCTCTCTTAAGTGGGTCATTGCCCTGGGGAGTTCACTTCCAACCCCAGCTTACCCGGTGATGGCGTCTCTGTCTCAGGTGATGCATAAGGAACCAGAGCATATGGCTATCGAACAGGTCAGTGTGGTGCAAACTATCTTCATCACGCTCTCGCTTGTTCTTCTTAATCACCTGGAACCCAAAGGGGTTGGGGGCAGGGATGGCAATGAATATGGACCCTCAACCTAATCAAGGCTAGCGTTCTATCCCAATAAAACTTCCCCTGTGGGATGTTAGTCTTACATGGAGCTAGATTAGATTAGAAAAGGATGCCCAGGCTTGCCACTAAAAAGATGGGATGCTTTAATATAGAATAATTTTTCTTGAAGATGTTCCCTTACTCCTATTCCAGGACCAACTAGAGGTATGTCAAAGCAGACCCCCACCCCCTGCAGCAAGGCTGTTTCTGTAAAGGCAATGACAAAAATGTAGAGGAAAGAGCTAGAGCAATACCTTTGAAAAACTAGGCAGCAAGTTACTCCTATGACAATGAAGAATCCTAACAGTGAGTGGATAAGTAGAAAGAAAAGAACTCCAGCCATCCACTTACATCCTTTAACCCTGTCAGCTCAGTGGAAGCCTCAGCGGTGGGTGCCCAGATCTTCACATCGTGGTCTAGGCCACTGGTTGCCAGCACAGGCAGGTGAGGGTGGGGCTCAAGACAGTTTACCTGATTGGGAGGAAAGGAAAGCACAGGATTAGGGCTATGTGGGAGTTGGACTTAAAAACCACTACTTACCTTGAGCCAAACAAGTACCCTCCATCAGGACTGTTGCTGGAAAGGCAGGCCTACCCATCCTGAGCCCAGGCTAAATTTAGGTACCCGCAGGTAGAGGAAACACTGGCCACAGACTGAGAACAAGACCAGGAGCACCTATCATTTCCTATGTACTGGTCAGGAGTGGCTCCATCCCTAGACACAGTCCTAGGAATAGGTTAGTGACTGGCCATGCTTATTGCTGGTTTCACAAGAAGGCTATGAGGTCCAAATGACCTCATTTAGTCCAGATTCTAAAGCTCCAACTTGCCTGAGGCTGGGGAGAAAAAAATCTCAGGGGCTTTCATCAAGTGGCAAATAAATTTTAAAAACTGAAGGAAGCAGCAGCTGCCATGGAGCCTCCAGAGAATAGTCAGAAAACAATTACAGTCACCTGGCACTGTTTACTAACGGGAGGAAGGCAGAGGCTGGGACGAAAAGGCTGACCTAGAGAGACAGTAATGGAGGCTAGTGTGTGCTTAAAAACCGTATATACCTCAGGGACAACGTCCTGCCAACTGCCCTAAGAACACAGTAAACTCAGCTACTGAAGAACAATGAGTAACAAGGCAGCTTCCTAAGGCCCTCCTCATCAATTCCAGCCACTCTCAGCACATTCACTGAATTGCAGAAAAACCTTGGCTGTTAGGCCTTTGGGCTTAGGCAGCTTCCCTCAGTCTCAGAGCACCATGCCCCCTGCTGGCCGACATGGAAACATGAGCTTCCCCGGCAGGGCAGGGTACTTCCGTCCCCACCGGAAGAGCCAGTCCCAGATTTAGCTGCTAAAGCATTTTTGGCCTTTTAGTCAGATAAACATCAAATAGTAAAGGGTAGCTGCAAGACTGCTCTCTAGTTCAAGACAATTGGCAAAAACCTCTTCCACTCCTCTCTAGATCAACTTCCCCTGTCTTGCTTACACACTCCAGAAAGCTGCTGAGAGGGTAAAGGCAGGCACTGAGAACAAAGCCAACCTGTAGACTTCCAACCTTCTTTGACTTCCATTTCACAAATAAACAAATGCTCAGAGAAGACCGATTTTTAAGTCTGAGTCTATGAGTGAAGCCGAAAGCCCATTCTTTTTCCCTCTCCCATTTCACACTTCAGCTCACTACAGTTGGTATCTGCCCTTCCAGGCAGTGCATTTGGAGCATGAAGAGACCTAGAGGTATTATCAAAAGATATGTAACTTACATCTATCTATAAGTTATATATCTATATAACTTATAAACCTGAGCTCATGTATCCATCTTCTGATAGCCCTTGCTACAGACCTGTCCTCTGATCTAGCTCTGCTTCAACAAGTTTGCAAAATTTTAAAAAGCACAGGAAATCAACTCCTTGGTACTTAAAGATACGGAAAAAGCCAATGGCAAGAGGAACAAGAGAATAAATTACATACAGTACCTGAGTTGGAGCTGCAGGGGGAGCCGACAGAGAACTTCTAGGCCAGGGTATCTGATCATCACCAGACCTGTCTGAATACCAGGACTTACCCTGTCAATAATGCTTGAGCAGAGAAAAGAGCTCTGGCCTTAGAAAACTGGGTTTGGGGAATGCAAGGAATGGGATAAAGCATCACAGTAATCTTGGTAGACTAAGGAGATGTCTCTTTATATCATACCCCAGCATGTCCCTATAAAGTTGAATGGGAACAAAGAAACGACCTCAAAACAAGAATTAGGAAAGCTGGGCAAAGTGGATGATAACGTCTAAAGATCTCTGGTTCTACTAGTCTACTTTATTATATAGAACTGCTTCATAGTCTACACTGAGACTGCAGCCTTGTAATACTCACAATAGGGCAGGAAAAGCACAAGAAAGAACAGGAACCTGATTATAAGGAACCATTTTAAATTCTACAACTACTCTCTGGTAAATCTGATCAAGCCATGGCTGGACTCTGAAGTTCTCCGTAGTTTAGAAGGAATGAAGAGGAAGAGAGCCTAAGCAGTCAATTTAGACTTAGAGGCCTTAAGTTACCAGACTATTTTGAGTTATCAGTACAATTTAATCTTCCAGACTGACTTTCCTACTTTCTATGATCTAAACACCTTATCATAAAGCTAGGCGTGGTGGCACACACCTGTGTTCCCAGCACTCGGGAGGCTGAGGCAGGAGGATTGTTGCAAGTTCGAGACCAGCCTGGGCTACAAAGTGAGCTCAAGCCCAGCCTCAAATGCATAGTGAGACCCTGTTTCCCCCCAAAAAAGGCAATAAAAAACCCAACAAACACCTTATCATAGAAAGCTGTTTAATGCTTTCTTAACTCTGGTCTCAAAAAGGGTGGTGGTGCTCCATTACATACATCTCAATGTATCTGACCACTCTTCACTCCTTACCTCAATCCTTACTCTTTCCGTTTGCCCTCTCCACAGAGGCTGCCTGTAGAACTCAAAGTACAGGCAGGCTGTGATACAATCATGGGTTACACAGCCAGATGTTCACCCACTCTTCTTAAGGAAAGAAAATACAGTGCTACATACATGTGTAGAACTTCGTCACTAAATATTCTAACATGTATATCCTAAGTACTAAATATTATCACAGATTTAATATTGAATAGCTGCTAAGGTATAAATAATACTCTGATTTTCACAATTGCCAAAAAAAAAAGTTCTGACTTATCTGTTCATCTAGGATCCAGCCAAGATCACTACTGAGTTTACTTATGGGATAAGACATGGGGTTATCTCTAACACTGTGTAGGGCATTCTGCCCTGAACTGTAGGTCCACGCTTAGATGTTATCTCACTCAGGCCAGTTCTTCCCTAAAATTTCTTCCTCTTCTCAACAAGAGAGGAAGACAGAAAAAGGAAGAAAATATTCCATGAAAATGTCAGCATTCCTAGGCCGCAGCACTGCTTTTTTTTTCTGTTTTTAAGTCTTGCCATGTTGTCTAAGTTAGTCTTGAACTTGTGATCCTCCTGCACTTAGACCCCAAGAACTATGATTATGGACATGTGCTACTGTGCTCAGCTTTATACTGCCTTATAATTTAGCTAGCTCAACCTCTAAGATAGTTATCATGTAGGTCACAGTGCACATTCAGTGACCCTGCTAAAATCTACTTTAATAACCTGAGAAACTAAGGAGCCAGCCAGTCATACTTACCACACCTCCCTTGTCTCCCTCCATGAACTGAATGATCTGGCAGGATGATTTCTCCCAGAGGAAGATGTGCCCGCAGTCACTACCGCTCACCACAAACTCACTCTTGGGACCATAGAAATTGACACCTTTTACTGAAATGATAAATGAGAGAACAAACCACATGAGGGTTGGCAATGGGCCTATACATGTTTATCTCACGGAGTATTTCAATATTCATAAACTCTAAAATCAGCCAAAAGTCTAGTGATTCTTTTCATTTTCACAAAACCAAATCAAGAGAGTATATAATAGTTACAAGAATCATACTAGTTCCAGAGACTATTTATATTCTCCTTCGAAGAGCTCCACAGGACTGAGCAATCTGTAGTGCTTAGAAACAGCCTGCCTCATTTATATCCTATCATGCAACCACAGGCCTAACTAATGCCCTACCTGTCCCAACCTGAATTGCTCCAGCTCTGCCGGCTCCAAGACAGTACTGCACTATGCCCTAGGATTATCCTTCAGTGTATTCACTGGTACCGTGTCAGTGTTTCTTGGTCACTAGCTGATCTGAGACTGAAGGTATGTTATACTTTTAATCTAAAATGTCCCCCAACTCTGTGCTTAGAAGGTAACTGAGTCATGGCGTGCTACACTTATCAGTGATGAGTTCAACAGTCCATGTGCTGTTAGGACGCAGGGCCTGGCTAGAGGAGTGGATCACTGGGAGTGCAGCCTGGAAGGGTGTATTCTTATCCCCAGCTGTCTTCCTTTAGGGTCTCTGTTTCCTAGCTGCCCCTTGAGAAGCTTTCCACTGCCATGCCCTTCTACCATGCTGCTTCTGCCCTGGAGTCAGCTGATCTTGGACAGAAGCCACTGGAAACTGAGGCAAAGAAACTTCTCCTCCTTTAATCTGTGAGTATTGGGTATTTTGTCCCAGTGATGAGAAAGTGACTAATACAAGGTATATGCTACAACAGCCTATAAGAAGCATCTGAACTGTGCTTTCTACCAGGACTGAATAACAAACCAGGCTCTCCCTTTTTAAATTAGTAAAATCAGCCAGGAGTCCCAATTAATATACTTTTTTTTGTTTGCCTATGGACTGAGATCCAAGTACAGATATTTTTCTCCTTCTCATCTTACCAGCTCAAGAGGAAAAAGTAAAACTAATTGCTGTCTCCAAGTTAAATTATGACAAACATTTATTTGCTAGTAGTAGAAACAACAACAAAGAGCATGGATTCCCCACCTTTTTATGTACGTAAGAATCATATGGAGAGCTTTAAAAATTCCCAACACACCAATTATATCATAGCTTGTGAAGGTGGGAGCCAGGCAACAGTACTTTTAAAAGATTACCAAGTGACTCGAATGTGCCCTACAGCTTGGGAACCACAGACACATAACAAAGAAGGCCAATCTTCACTATAAAATTAGGCTAAGTACTACCACTATTCCTTTTCCTCTGCATCATTTAAAAAAAAAACATTTCTTCCTCCCTCCCTATAGGTAAAAGCTTACTCCCCATTTTATGCAATTCAGCACCATTTGCTAAAGAAGACTTATCTATGAAACCATCAGTGTCTATTCTGAAATTACTTGAAATCATAAAGAGAGAAAAAATCAATCTAGTCTCACACACAAACTGGTCAGAAGCAACATCACTATAGTGAAGATGCTCCTGAGCCCTTTTCTAACATAATGCAGGGAAAAAGTGATCTCACTGCCCAAGGTGATGCAGCCAGCCTAGCCCTTAGGCAGTTCCTATGAACAATCAGAATAAGATACTATGGTTCTTCAAGTGTGGGCCAGAGAAACCTAGATGACAGTCTTACCTGTGGCATTATTTCTGTGGCCCTTGTATCTCTTAACATACTGGGCCCCATCACTGTGAGAGGAGTTGAAGAGGTAAATGTCTTCATCATTATAACTGGCCAGGAGCTCTGCCAAGAACAAGAACAAAGCAGTGAAGGCAAAGGCTGAAAAACACAGGGACTAGGAGCTGGGGTTTGGGGTGGGGCTTCTTGCCAGTAGTGCCCCCTCCTAATACCCAAGTATAGCACCCATCTTACTTCACTGCAACAGCAGAAAGTGAAGCTGAATAGGGTAGACTAGGAACACACTGCAAACCCGGGGGTAGCAGAATGCTCAGGAAGATCATGTCCATTAACTCAAGAATGAGTCAAAGGCGTAAGAACCTGCTCAGGTAAGCAGCATGAGATTCAGCATAGGCTCTGCCAATAATCATCTATAGCATTCTGCAAATGGTGCCTGGCATCTCCACGGGTCATCTCCTACATCCTCCCACTATGTGCTCACCATCAGCGGCTACTCTCCAGTTGCTCCACCTGGAGCTACTGCACAGTGGTGAGCACTGGAGGGCACGTGCCTCACTGGCTCAGCAGCTCCCTACACAGAGGGGGCATGCCAGCTTAGGAGCTGGGCCCTGCTCACGTACCTGTGCCGTCGTGGCTGTACACAAGACAGGTGATGTTTGCTTTGGACTCACTGTTCACCTGCAATGAGGAGCAGATACTGACTGATGCCCCACCCCCACCCCCCACTTGTTATACCACTTTCAGGAAAAGGTTTTCCTTCAAATTCCCCTATATCTTCTACCAAAGATTTAGACAGACAGACAGACAGAGATAGTGTGACTGATGCAACACAATCACCTCTACAGAGAAAGTCATAGGGCCTTCCCTTAGCTGTCTTTTGTGTGCTCACCATTTCATAAACACTGTCTCATTAAGCCTCACCATGATGATGCAAGGCACTTACTGTTCTATTTTGTTGATGAGAAAACTGAGGCTAACAGAGGTGAAGTGACTGTCCAAAATCACGAAGCTGGTAAGTGGGAAAGCTGGGATTCAAATCTAGGTGTCTGGCTTGAAAGTCTAAGCTCTTCCCACTATACCAACAGTTCTAGGGCAGTCTTGGGATCAAGTCAGGGAAGCCAGGAGCCTCTGGCTTCATGAATCTTACCAAGTGATGAGGACAGAATTTCTTGAGGACTCCATTGTTTTCATTCTCATCAATTTTCCTCTGGTCATAAATTCTGTGATGGAAAAAGCAATGAAATGTCAAAACTTACACACTGACCCCTTGAAGAGTTGCAATTTGATGTGGTGGCAGGAGGCAATCAAGCGTCTGGTAAATACTCTTCTATAAAGATTCTCCCTTACCCAATTTATTTCTAAACCCTTTCATCCACATACTTTCCATATTCCAAAGTAGTCCTCAAGGGGCTGGGGATTTAGCTCAGCGGCACAGCGCTTGCCTGGCAAGTGCAAGGTCGTGAGTTTGATTGCCGTGCCAGAAAAAAAAAAAAAAAAAAAAGTAGTCCTCAATTATATCAGTTTGAAGAGGCTTATCTTTTCCCTCAAATTTATATCACTTAACTGTTTATTTTCACTCAAACAACTAACATTATTATAGAGCTTTGTATATATTTTACCTACCTAAAGAGTTTATTACTCAGGGCAGAGACTTTGCTTTATGTATGTCAGTGAGCCTTCAATCTCTCCTTGAGGCCTTATTGGCCAGTTCTCCCTTTCAGGGACCTTATTTTATCAATTAGTCCATTTCTAAACCTTTGCCTCATCAGTGTCTACTCACTGTGAAAAAATCCTTTTCCACTATTACTGCTTTTTCTCCCCTTCCTTTGCAAATTACTAAAAAGTTTAATCTACATTCAATGTTTTCACTTCCTTACCTCTTATTTACTTCTCAGTCCATCCCAACACAGCTTTGACCCTAAAACTTTCACAGCTAAAAATTCTCTGGTTGAAGTCATCAGTAACTTAACTGCCAAAGCAAATAAGATACTTTTTAAAGCCTTTCTTACCCCAACATCCTTACTCCTTCCCCACAACACCAGTTTGTTTTGTTTTTTTTTTTTTTTGGTTTGCTTTTTTTCCCAATACCAGAAATCGAACTCATGACCTTGCGCTTGCCAGGCAGGCGCTGTGCCACTGAGCTAAATCCCCAGCCCAACACCACTCTTTCTAAATATTCAACCACCCCTCTGTGTATTTGTCTCTGGTCACTTTTATTTATTTATGTATGTATGTATGTATGTATGTCTTTTTGAGACAAGGTCTCACTATGCAGTTCAGGCTGGCCTTGAGCTCACTTTGCAGCCCAGGCTGGTCTTGAACTCTCAACGATCTTCTTGCCTCAGCCTCCCGAGTGCTGGGATTACAGGTGTGCACCACCATGCCTGGTTTCTGGTCACCCTTACATGCTAATATTCTCAAGAGTGTATAAACTCTAGTATAAACTCTCATCTGCCTCCCCCAGTCCCAACAGTGCTGGGAATCAAACCCAAGGCTTCACACATCCTATGAAAGCATTCTACCACTGAGCTACAACCTAGCTTTCTCATCTTATTTTACTCTAAAAAATTTTAACCTGGAGTGCAAACAGTATGTGAGCCTCCAGAAACTTGTGCTTTTGTACATTTTTCTGGAGAAAAGAAACCACTGTTTTCATATTTTTAAAGAGGCCAGAAACTCAAAAGGATAGAAAAATTCTGGTCCATATAGTAGTTCCCCCTTAGCCATATTTTTGCTTTCAATGGTTTCAATTACCCACAGTCAACTATGGCCAGAAGATATTAAGTGGAAAGTCCAGAAATAAACAAAAGGTTATGTAACTTTTATTATAGCACACTGCCGTAATTATTTTCTGATGTATAATTATGTAGGCATAGGGAAAAATATGGTGTATATATAGGGTTCAGTACTACCCATAGTTTCAGGGCATCCACTTCAGAAGAAATGTGGCTCTCTGTGGATAAGAGGGGATTACTGTACTTTCTTTAGTGACTGAATTCCATTAGGATGCTTTAACCACAACCATCTCCTCTGACATGTAGATATATGCCTTATATCTGTGTCATCAGATAACACTTTTTTCTATTCTGTACTTACATGTACTTACCAGTTCAATGCTATAATTAGTTACCCAAAAGTAAACTCATTTTCCTTCTAAAAATAAAATACTAAACCTAACCCTTTCCCCTAATACCACCCACCCCCCAATACTGGGGGGATTGAGCTTAGAGCCTTCACAATGAACTAAAGCCTTTCAAAATTTCTTTATTTTGAACTAGGATCTCACTAAGCTGCCAGGCTGAGCTAGAACCAGCAATCTTTCTACCTCAGCCCTCTCTAAATCTTTTTTTTGAGAGAGGGTGTCACTATGTGGTTCAGGCTGGCCTTGAACTCACTGTGTAACCTAGGTTGGCCTGCCATTTGTGGCAATCCTCCTGGCTGAGCCTCCTGAGTGCTGGGTTACCAGTGTGCACCACGACACCTGCCTTAAATCTTTTTAAATGGCACCGTCCTTAATAGAAAAAGGCCAAGCCAGAAATCAGGTCTTTTCTCTCCTATACAGCTTTTTTCTTTTCTTGTCAAATTTATTCCCTCAGCATGTATCTGGCTTTTCCCCACCCTTGTCTTGTTTTGCCCACATTATTATAGTATCCTTCTAACTGGTTTCCCTGCCCATACTGTCACCAGAATTTTGTCATTTTTTTTTTTTGGAGGGTACCAGGAATCGAACTGAGGACCTTGCGCTTGCCAGGCAGGCACTTGTGCCACTGAGCTATATCCCTGGCCCCAGAATTTTGCCAAAAATGCAAAATTTATGTAAATCCCTCACTTAAATCTCTTAGTGATTTTGCACAATCTACTTAACAAAATTCAAACTCATTAGTATGGCTACATACCAATTTCTTTTAAGATCCTAGACCTTATATTAAAAAAAAAAAAAACAAGAAAAAACCTCCCGTGTTTCCTTGAATATACTGTCACCTTTTCTTATCTTACTGTTACATATCTTGTTCTCTTTACCTGAAATACTAATTTCACCATGGTTCTTAATATTTCCTCTGGAAGGAGGAAAAAAGCATAGTGAAATGGTTTCCAATGTATTTAAGTAATCGTATCTGTTTTGTTTTTTTTTTTAGACAGGGTCTCACTTTGTAGTTCAGGTGGGCCTTGAACTCACTATATACCCTAGACTGGCCTTGAACTCATGGTGATCCTTCTTAGCCTCCTGTGTGGTAGGATAACAGGCATGCACCGCCACGCCCACCTCAGACCTGAGTTTAAATACTAACTCTGCTATTTACCAGCTGAGCAATACTGGGTAAGTTACTTAATAGCTTTCACGTTCATATATCTGCTTCTATAAAATGTTCCTTAACACATCCCACCAATTTGAACCACTGATAGTACATGCATGACTGTCCTACTGCGAGGCTTATACCACTGGTGGTACAAGTGGGGCAGTCATGCATGTATCACACCCATGGTTCAAGCCACCTGGCAGAGACATATGAATTACAGCCCTAACATAAACATATTAAAGGCAGAGACTATATCCAGTCAAGGGTGTAACTGGCACCTTAGATACTGGATGAATAAATGAATCAACATATTTCTGTATTCCTCAGGACCCCTTGTTTAACGCCCTGCTTAAAGAGAATATCCAGGAAACGTCTGCTAAATGAAGGGAAAAAAAAGTGAGGAGATGTTTATACTACCAACTACTACCAACTATTATGCTGTGGCAAATTTATTAGCTGTTAAAAACCATTTCTTTTAATTAGGTCAAAATAACAGATTTTTTTTTGAGACAAGAGTCTTGCTATGTAATTCAGACTGGCCTTGAACTGGTGGTGATCCTCCTGCCTCAACCCTCCTCAAGTGCTAAGATTAAAGGTGTGCACCACCATGGACAGCAAAATAACAGTTCCTAACTGTCACTAAACCATTACAAAATCCAGCAAGTCAGCAAATTAGTAAGAAATGATTATTCAAGCACCATATGGTATTTTTTGGTATACAGACTACTCTATGTTCCTCAGTATCTTAATGCTCATTGTCCTTTTACTTTCTAGGGATATTCCTAACCACCTTCCTTCCTCTCTACCCTGTATTTACTAAGGACCTATTATATCCCAGACAGTGATCCTACACCAGAGATTAATAATGGAAGGCTTCTCTTAAAGGGTAAGAAAACAGAAAAGAAATGGGATTCTAACACAGTCAGGTGGCTAATTTGAAGAAGTACCAGAAAACTAAAGGGTAACCATAAGGTCATAGAAGACTGAAAAAGATGATCTACTTATGCGGCATCAGTGTGCCTCAAAATCTACATATGTTTCTGCCAAGAAAACAGCCTACGAACTACTGAGTCTTTATGGCTGGTAAGAGACAAAAGATCTGAGTATTTCTCTTTGTGCTAAAATGCTAAAACTACTTTTTGGCCTCACTATAATTCCGGGAAGGTATCAGTTTTGGAATAAGGCACTAGGACTTTATTAAGAACTTTGGGCCAGGCATAGTGGTGCACACCTGTAACCCCAGCTACTCATGAGGCTGAAGCAGATGGAATTTAAGTTTAAGGTCAATCTAGGTATTAACAAGACTTTCAAAAAAGAGAGAGAAGAAAATAAAAGAGAGAAAGGGTTGGAAATGTAGTGCAGCGACTATGTTTACCTGGCCTGTAAGAGAGCCCTGGGTTCAATCCCCAGTACTGTAAAAACAAAACAAAACAAAACCAACACCTTTGGGATAAGTTCTCACTAAAGCTAAATCCTCCTTTCCCCTTCAAACATCCTAGTCTTAGTGGATGAATCCACTTTTAAGAGACATAGGCTCTTCATGCAACGTATTGCTCTAAATAAAAATCCCAACTAGAAATATCAATGAATAACGGATTTGGTGATACCTAAAGATTCCAACCACTCCAACCCTTTTGCTCAAAAGCCTCTTATTTAAAAAAAAAAAAAAAAGAAAAACTGTTGCCGGGGATGGTGGCACATGCCTGTAATCCCAGCACTTGGGAGGCTGAGGCAGGATTGCTGAGAGTTCAAGGCCAGCCTGAACTACATAAGCAAGTTGAAGGCCAGCCTATACTATGTGGCAAGACCCTGTCTCAAAAAAAATTTATAATTTAAAAGAAGTCTTGCTAGTCTTGCTACCTGTTTAAGAACTAGTAACTAAAGGAAAAGAATGTAAGAATGTTGAAGGCAAGGGAATCAGGAGAAGACACTAACAAGATGGTTTAGGATTCTTGAACAAGGTAAATTTATTTCTCATGTATTTTCTAAGACCTTATCCTATGCTTATGATTCTTAATACAAATTAATTTCAGAACACTGTTACAAAAATTTTTCAAGTTTTCAAAACTCTCAATAGGTTTTAACTATCATCAGAAAAGCAAAGTCATTCCTATTTCTAGGGATGCTGCTCTTCTCTCATTCAAACAGACAATTCCAGAGAAACACGGTGTAATATGCCCTCTAGATGGGGATTGAATCCATGATGTCTGCTTTCTTTAGGCTGTGCCTTATAACATGTTCACAAGAACAAAGCTGCCGCTGAAAAATTATTAAAGAAAAGCAGTTCAGGAAAGTGGGAACCCAAAAAACCACAGTTAACACTAGGTGCTTCCAAGACAAATTACTTTTGAATCTAAAACCAGTACTCAAGATTATTAGTGCAATGGTAACTTGTATTTGAAAATGTTGGAAGATACTTACTAATACAGCACCTGCTGGTAAATGTGTGCTTATGCCTTAGCTGTTATGTGGAGAAGTTGATCAATTCATCAGACTTATTTAAACACTGCCATCTCTATAACATACAAAGCCATCCTTCAGACTGTTGTATTAGGGAACAGAATACCTCAAAAGGTGCTTAAGCATTCTGGAACAAGATGGCGTCAATGGACTCTTAGGCAATTCATACCTCTCCATAAGGGAATGTCTGGCAATAGTACAATGTATCAAAGTCTCAAATACTCAAAGACACAAAACAGCAAACTCACCTTACAAACTGATCTCGTCCACCCACTGCAAACTGATGGGTATTAGCGGGATTCACATAGATTGTATATAGTCCCACTTTCTTCTCTTTTTCTTTTGTCACCACCAGTTTCCTTCAGGAAGAGAAAAGCAGAAAAAGTTATATTCTCCCAAAGATCCAGATGATTATAGTAAGTGAGAACCGAGGAAGTAGACAAGGCTAATAAGAAACCCAAAGATTCTCACTGGGAAAGAAACAAAGTGTCAGTTTTATTATTTTAAACACTGAAAGAAGAAAAAGTACATGTATTTTCTATAAACTACTTTGAAGACAGAGAGTCACAGAAGAAAGTCACTTCATAGTGTTCCTTAAGAAAGTATGAGCTTTTTTTTTTTTGAGACAGGGTCTTGCTAAGTCACTTAATTGCCCAGGCTGGACTTGAACTTGTAATTCTCCTGTCTTAGCCTTCCACAGTGCTGGGATTACAGGTGTGTACCACCACTCCCAGGTAAGGAATCACTAAGCATAAATGAACGTTCAGTACAGCTCCTCAGGAAGCTTCAGTCTAGCTAGAGTCTAACATGGTAACAACCAACCCTAAAGAGATGATACTACCCCCATACCTTTCCATTCTTTATTTTTGGGTATTTTGGTTTTCGTTTTTTGAGACAGGGTCTCACTATCCAGTTCAGCCTGGCCTTGAACTCGGCGATCCTCCTGCCTCAGCCTCTGGTGTGCTGGGATACAGGTGTGCACCACCATTGCCCAAGTCTATTCTTTATTTACAAATAGTGAGCATCTTCCCAATCATTGAGAAATAAGGAGAGGAGAGGCTGGGGATTTAGCTCAGCGGCAAAAGCGCCTGTCTGGCAAGCGCAAGGTCGTGAGTTCGGTTCCCGGTACCGGAGAAAAAAAAAAAAAAAAAAAAAAAAAAAAAAAAAAGAGAAATAAGGAGAGGAGTAGAGGAAGACTCATAGAACAGTGGGCTAAAGAAGACCTTAAAGTCAGAGTCTAACTCCCAGAGTCTAGAAAAATGTCACTTAAAACACACACTATCTTTAAAAATGTATACTAAGCACAGAGGCAATCCAAAAGAAAACAGCATTCTTTTTCCTTTATCGGAAGCAAATTAGAAGAGAAGGTTCTTATGAAGATAGCTTTTTACCAAGCCAAAGTAGAATTTCTAAATTCTCTTGGATGTAACTCAAGAAGGGTGATAGTTAGGAAAGCATGGGGCCCTAAAGAGACCCCAGAGAACTTCAAAAGTTTACTCAGAAGAATCTAGTAAAACATCACAACTTATCCCAACTTAAGGGTGGCACTATGAATAACCTTCCCAGAACTAAGTGTCCAACCAATCAAGTTAGACATCATGAAAATTACTGAATTTAGAAAAACATCACACCACCATAAGAAGAGGCTTGGCTTTCACTTTTTCCTTTTCTTTTAAGGTTTTATTCATTTCTGATACTATGCAAACAGAAAAAAATAAACCATGACAGTAAGTTCCATTGGAAATAATTTTTACATTTTCTCTGCATGGTCACAGTTACTCCAAGCTAAAACTGCTCTCAACAAAATAGAAATTATGATTTTAAAAAATTTTTGCAGCTTCCCATTAGAAGAAAAGAGTACAGAGATCAGTGGAAATGAATTTTATTAGAGGGAAGTCCTCCTCCTCCACATTCTCAAAAAATACAAAGCAGAAAACATGCCAAAAGTCACTCAGAGTAGTGGTGTATACCTGTAATCCCAGGACTCAGCAGGGGTCACTGGGAGTTTGAGGTTAGCCTGGGCTACACAGTGAGTTCAAGACCAGCCTAAACTACATAGCAAGATCCCATCTCAAAAAACAAAACAAAACTAAAAACAACCAAAACAAAGTATTTATACTTTTAGGAACAAACCTAGCTAAGAAGAAGGAGCTCCACTGTGAGTTTCAGACTGGGAACAAGAGCAGGAGCTGATGACAGTCCATTCACAGGACCAGCCCATTTCCTTAGCAATTTTCTTTTCTTTTCTTTTCTTTTTTTTGAGACAAGGTCTCACTATGTAACCCAGGCTGCCCTTGAACTCATGGAAATCCTCCTGCCTCAGCGTCCCCAGTGCTGGGATTACAGGCGTGTACCACCCTGCCCAGCTAACAATTTGAATTTTCAAAAGGACAGGGTCAGACAAATCTAAAAGTTACTGTGTGTAAGCAAAAGTAAGAAACTAAGGGATATTTTATGAAGTACTAGCTCCACTATCATGCAATCCTAACAAAGCTCAATCTTTCCATGCCTCAATGTATGGTCATCAAGAAATTCTTTCAAGGGATAAACGTTCAGAGTGCCTTGAGTTGTCTGGGTAACATGAAGCGGTTCAATAAAAATGATCCATCAGGGCACAGTGGGGTGGTTTTCATGTCAGAGGAAGATAGCATGTGAAATCACATGAAACAAATTCATTGAATTCTGCCTTAAAATTAATGAGCAGGTTATATCCCTGAAAAATGGGGAAAATTACAGATCACACAGACCAAAGAATTTCTTTGAAAAATACCTCAAACTGGTTTCCACTGGCTATAAAGGAATATACTACCCACAATTCCAATCAAACTCTTTCCCTAAGATGTTAGTTAATTTCATGAGCTCCCAGAGACTCATGATAAGCAAAAGAAAATCTTTTCTATGCCAACTTTACAGAAACATGCCCGATATAAGCAAATGTTCAGGTACCACCTAAACACATGAAAATGGCTTAGATCATTTCTCCAAGCTCTTCACACAGCCTGTCACCCCATTCTAGCCTGTAAAACTACATCTTCAACCCTTAAGGAAAAAGTGTTGGAAGGCTCACTGTCTTATCCCTGAAATCTAGAACTTGGCCCTTCTTATATTCTTAACTTTCTTCAGTGACCCCTTTTAGCTTCTTATCTTGCCCAGGCATTCGTGTGTAGGTCCACAGCCAACTATCAGCCAGATTTTCTGCCTATATCACTTCATTTAAAACTCAATAATCTGCCAAAAGGCATTTGCTCTACTCATTACTTTATTCAGTTTCCTTGTGGCCTAAGAGGGGGTTTCCCTTTGAACTTTAACCAGGGTACAAGCTCAATCTGCTTTAAAACTCTCTAATACAGCAGATCAAATAACTTCACTATAATTTCACACATCTTTACTTTACCTTCCTTTACAGAAAACTTGCTAATGTTCTACTATCATCACAGTACCATAGAACGTTAGAGCTGGAAACAACATCACTCAGTTCAAGAGAACCAAGCTAGGTAATAGCAAAGGTACATAGATGTTCCTTGATTTACGATGGGGTTTATGTCCCAATAAACCCATTGTAAATTGAAAATATCCTAAGTTGAACATGCATTTTATATAATGAACCTACTGAACACCATACATTGCCAACACAGTACAGTTCAGTTGTTTATCCTTGTGCTCAGATAGCTAACTGAGAGCTGCGGCTTGCTGCTGCCACCCAGCATCACAACAGACTACAGTACCATGTACTGCTGGCCTGGAAAAAGATCAAAATTAGAAGTTTAAGTACAGTTTCTACTGAATGTTATCCACTTTCACACCATCATAAAGTTAAGAAATCGTTAAGCCCTATAAAACTGCAACATGACTTCTAGCTAAGGCCCATTAGATTAGTTCTCTGGAGAAGGCTCCTGACTGTAGTTTCCCCTACACCAACCCTTCTCATCTGGAAGCACCTAGATGTAAACTATGCCCCTTCTCCCCTAAACGCAGTTAGGGGTACTTCTTCAGAGGAGGGGATATTAAAGACAGCTAAATCAGGTGGAAATATTCCAGGCAGTCAGACCAGGCTGGGATCTCAAGGAAGTCAGCGCAGAAGCTGGGAAAGCATGGAGACTGGCTGGAGGCACATCTGAAGGAGATTAAAGTCATAATGGCCAGATTTGCATACTTCCCTAAGGGATAAACAGAAGTCTGAGATTACTGGTATCAACCCTCTGAGATTTCCCATTATCTCATTAGGGGTGGGCCATCATTCTCCCACCCACTAAGACCAAGACTGAGACTAAGACTAAAATTAAGACTAAGACTAAAACTACTAAGACTAAAGACAAGACTATAGATTATCAACAACAGTTAATGATGTCATCCATATGTCCTTGCTACCACAGGATCAGTATTATCTAAGCAACTATACTCGTAATCTTATTGGTTGATCATGATGTTGACCCACGTTGTACCTACCTTGTGATTTTGCTCTATAGAACTTCCTTTGAGAAGTGGGCTCGTTGGCAACCCATTCAGGACCCCTCCTGTCTCTCAGGAGCTATTCCTATTCCCCATTCCTTTTCTCCAAAAAATTTTCCTCCTCTTAAAAAAAAAGAATCATTAAGCCAGGGGTAATCTATAATCAGAAGGCTCAGCTCTTCACAGTCAGGCTTGTTTCCTTTCCACTAAGCACCGTCACCTTCCAACCTCCTTCTTCTTGAAGGTTATATAAATAACCAATATACCCTTTCTCCAGCCGAAACAGATCCATCATTTAAGTAGTTGTTGTACTCTGTCTACTTTCTAGACAACTTTTTCTAGACTCATTTCTCTAGAAGTCGAATTACAAACAGCCTTTGAATTATAGTCCCCAAGTTAATGTATCTCTACTTGTATATTATGTAAAGCACTGACATCTTTTTTCCCCCCTATCTAAATACTTGTACCAAACTACAAGATTTGTAATGCTACAAGATTTGTAGTTTGTAAAAAGACAAATAATCTAGATACCCATCCATGAGAGTGATTAAATAGAGTAGCACACCAATGCTACAACATATATGTCATGAGTAAACATTAGAGATGTTTTTATAGTTTGATATATAAAGATCTCCAAAACACAATATAACATGGCAAAAGCAAAGATGTATACATATAATTATCCCATTTATTAGGGGTAGTGTGTATGTATATACTAAGATACATAAATGTATTAAAAAGGGACTGGGGAATGTATTAAAAAGGGACTGGGGGCTGGGAGATGTGGTACACACCTTTTACCTCAGCACTTGGGAGGCTAAGGCAGGTGAATGCAAGTTCAAACCCAGCCAAGGCTGTACAGCGAGTCCCAGGCCATCCTAGATTACAGAGCAAAACCCTGTCTCAAAACAATAACAACAGCAGGAAGAAAAGGGGAATGGAAGTGTTCAAAATTACAATAATAGTTACTATAGCTAGAAAGATGGGAGAGGGTATTTACATTTTGTCCACATACTTTATTATCCAAATCTCTTAAGATGTATCTGTTTATATACAAGAGTAATAAAAAAATCAATAAAATAATTATAATGGTAGCTACAACTTAAATCAGTTCCACTTAGCGTACTACATAGTATGCTAAGGCATCAAATATACATATCAATAATCCTCAGAGAAACCACCATAGAGGGAAAAAGGTATTACACACTGAAGTTTCAAAGATTACTATATACAGATGATCAGTAGCGTCTGAGTTCCTCTGCCTGTGTTCAAAGAAAATGCTATGTTCCCCCTATGATATCACACAGCTAAAATATAACATACAAGACTCAAATTCATGCACATATGAGCTGTGGAATGACAGAACTCTATTATAGCTATCAATATTTTTGTTCAGGAGTCATCATTTGATTTGTTTCTACATGTAACTGAACTGAAAATTTATTGGATCATATTTCTAGTCTTCTTGTGGGTAGAATGAAAGGAATCTAATTAAAGGTGAGCTTAAAATCATCAAGTTGTTAAATCCCACATATAACTGAACCTTGTTTCAAAAATGAAGACATAAAAAAAAAGAAATGAAAACCTGGTATTTCACTGCTGAGAAACAGACACCAGAAGTAAGAAATCCTCTGGAACCATAAACTACCTCTTAGAGGTAGTTATTCCGATGAATTAGGCACTTATTCCGATGAATTTAAGAGCTGAGCATTACCAGGACACATGAAATATTTCCAAGACCAAGGGATAGAGCACTATAAAGACATTACTGTGATACTTACGAAGCTGGCCGATCTTGTCTCAGATCAATGGTGAAGACAACTGCATCTTCACCTGCAGACAGGAACGTGCAGGGAGAGTCTGGTTCCAGGGCCAACTGAGGGAAAAAAGGGGGAAAGGATGAGGTGTTTAAAGATTAGAACTGGAACTTGTCTAGTTCACTTATTCACCTTTACCAAGGGCTACAATGAAAAGGTCTTAGCAAGAGAAATGTCTGCCTTCTTTGTTGTTGTAAAATTCCAGGGAAGGAGATAATTTAAGTACCACTCACTCTTTTGTATAAATTATTCAGTCTGTTTATTCTGTACAAGTCAAAAGGACAGATGATTTGCTATTTTAACAAATCTTTCTGGGACTTAATTAAACATCAGCTCCTAAAAATTCATTCTCAAAATCAATTACAAACTTTGAGGTATAGAGAGAAATGGTGCCCAAGTTTGTTTTTTCTTCAAGTTTCATTCCTTTCATCCTAGCTCTAAAAATTAGCTATCTAGTGTATTAGGTGTAGGCTTACAAATCAAAGGTGAATTTCATGTTTCCTGAGCTATCTGGCCTGGAAAGGATATTCCAGGTCGATCTACATACTTTCTTAAGATTTGTAAAAAACAAACCATCTCTTTTCATGGCATGGAAAAACACAATGCCTACTCTGAAACTGGGCAGCTCATAGCCCTTCACTGGCTGCCACTAAGACTGTTTGGCCTATATTCCCAGCTCTAAATAGAGTTTCCAAAAATAGTACTATTTGTGACTGAGAGTTGTAAGCAGGAAAGTTGGGAGTTCTCACATACGAGGCTCTGAATTGTGAATGTGTTTTGAAAACAGAATAAATTCAGGGGTTTGGAAAGCACACCCCTCCAGCTAACCATAGCTCAGCTTGGTGGGTAGGCAGAATCAAGTGAATGTTACAAGTACATGATCTGGGGACTCACTCAAATACTTATCTTCCAAGAAGTTTAGGATGGCTTTCTTTGCTCCTTTCTTAACTATAATTCTTAGGACTGAAACACATGAGGCAGATAACCACAATAAAGGAGACATGACAGGCAGAGATAAGAAGACGTTAGTTGAAATCCTCAGATGAGTATGCATGCACAAACTGATACAAAGGCTAACCTTGTGGGATGCTCCTTTGTGCTGCGCCACACGCTTTGTATTCTTGCAGCACTGTGTGGCAGACAGTTCTGCTACTCGAACCTGTCCGTCCCGGGCACACATGGCCAGGGTGGAATCTCCACTGTTGGGAAGAAACTTGGCCTGTGGTAAGAATGAACAGAAAAAGGTTGCACACAAAAGAAAATGAAGAGGTGAATCTGTGAGTGATGAATGTGATGGTCCCAGTTCACCCCTTTTCTTGCATGACAGCTACATGTAACTTTCCTACTCTTGCACAGCTGGCTCAGCCCAGTATTTCCCAGGGGTTAAAAAGGAGAAGAAAAGACTTCCTCTGATGTGTGAGAGCATTTTGGTTGGTTCTAGAAGTTTGAACTGGTATGTGATTAAGTGCTCAAGTGAATTAGAATTGTACCTAGTAGGGGAGAAAAATAAGGAATAAAGGAAAATCTATCCTTATCAGTAGTAAATATCACTTTGCCATAAAGGAAAAGGAAACTAGGAAGAATACTGGGGAAGGAAAGTACATAGTACTTACAAGTACACAGTATAGTAGCAATGTGAAAGACAGGCCTGAGTCAAACTTCTGCAGAACAGTAGTATTAGCTAATTTTATCAAACATTATTACCAGCCATGATTCCAAGTGCTTAGCTCCCACTGGTTACAGTCCATCTTTTTTTTTTGGTGGTACAAGAGGGCTGTGTGCATGCTCAGCACATGCTGTACCGCGAAGCTAACCGCCTCCCCCAAGATACCCACTGTTATTTAATCCTCCTAATTCTGTATGTTTAGACCTAATTTTACAGATACACAGACTGAGAACATAAGTGAACCTTCCCAAGCTCACACAGTTATTCAGTGGAAAGGCCAGGGTTTGAACCCAGGCAGCCTGCGCTTTACACTATTCTGCCTCCTACTAGCACACCTACAATACCTCCCCGATGAGTTCCAGGCATTCTACCTATATTAGAGCTTCTGACAGCCCTTATGGCCAAGGAAACAAAAGACGTCCATGGGTCTTTGTGTCATTAAGGAAGCCAATGCGGGGTTAAGTTCTGATGTGTGATTCTTAACACAACTCACTACCAGCTCCACGCTATGGAGCAGCTCAGATTGTGTAACTCATGCCCAGTTTTCTCAGTTATGCTTCCTTGCCTCACCTGGAAGACATTACTTTTGTGACCACTCTCAAAGTCAAGTACTGGCTGCCGCCGCACCCAATCCCACACCACCACCTTCAGGTCATCGCTGCCACTGGCCAGCCAGGTGCCGCGCTGGTTAAAGTGCAGAGTGTTGACACAACCGGTATGGCCCTCAAGCCCATGCTGCAAGCGGAAACGCTGTACAAAGACTCTTGCTCCACAGGCCTCATACACAAAGCGGGCGCTTGAACCCAGTGCCCGTTCCCGAAGGGCAGGAAGGGCTTGCCAGCGAGGTCGCGGCAGGGCTGTTGTCTCTGAGGACACCCAGTCCTCTAGGGCCCGCTCATCATCTGATGAGTCCTGGTCACGACTGGCCCGCTTCCGCTGTACACGGCGCCGAGGGTGTTCTTCTTCTTCCTCTTCTTCCTCTTCCTCGGAGCGGTCATGAACTCGGCTTTCATCATTGATGGAGTAATGACCAGTGTCCTCCATGCTGTCAGAGTCCTTTTCTTCACCTGAGCTCTCTGTGTCTGTGCCTCGACTTTCTGTGCTGGTACGGTTGGGGCCACCGTCATCTCCAGTCAAACTCAAACTCACGTCTGAGGCCTCCACTTCAATGCCTGAGGATGTCTCCCTCCCCTCTTCTGCTCCAGACATCTCCTCTGGACTGCTAGACAGGCTTCCTGCACATTAACGAAGAATGGATGGGGAAAATAAAGAAATAGGATTAGGACTGTAATCAGAAGGATTTCCCACCATAGTCTAAGAAACCATCGTATTGAAAAACCTAGAAATAAGTTTCATTCAAAGTGCTTCCATTACAAATGCTTATAAAGAGTTAACTTGTGACACTGGCATATGCCTGTAATCCTGGCTACTCGGGAGGCTTCAGAAAGGAAGATCATGGGTTTGATGTCACCCTGGGCAATGTAGGGAGAGCATGTTAAAAAGAAAAAAAGGATGGGAGATGTAGCTCAGTGGTAGAGAAGGGAAAAAATAGTAATTGTTGTTTGTTTTTTTGAGACAATGTCTCACTATATAGTTTGGACTGGTCTTGAACCCACTGTGTAGCCCAAGTGCCACCATGCTCAGCCTTTAAAAAATTATCTCTGAGAGGAAAATCTTACAAAGGAGAAGAAACTGAAAAGATCAAAAGCACACACAGGGGGCTGGGGATTTAGCTCAGCGGCACAGCACCCGCCTGGCAAGCGCGACGTCGTGAGTTCGATTCCCGGTACCGGAAAAAAAAAAACCAAAAAAAAAAAAAGCACACACAAAGACACTTCAACAAAATTTAAGAATTGTAGGATAAACTATAATTATAGTAAGAGCTGGATGTGGTAGCACACTCCGGGAGGCTAAGGCACGAAGATTACAAGTTTGAACGCAGCCTGAGCAACTTAGTAATAAAGTATCTCAAATTTTTTTAAAAAGAGAAGCCGGGCGTGGTGGTGCACGCCTGTAATCCCAGCACTCGAGAGCCTGAGGCAGAAGGATCATTGCAAGTTCGAGGCCAGCCTAGGTTACAAAGTGAGCTCCAGGCCAGCCTGAACTGCATAGCGAGACCCTGTCTCAAAAAGACAAAAGAAAAAAAAGAAAAATTTTTAAAAAGGAAAGAGAGAGAATTTTACAAGAGGGCTGTAGATGTTGCTTAGTGAGAAGGCCTTGAGTTTAATCCCTGGTACTGAAACAAACGAAATTCTCAAGAGACTAAGCTTTGGCACACTGCTTGAAAGCATGTCTAACCCAACTACTTTAGGCTCTGTTCTGTTGGACAGCATCCATTAGGTACAGCAAATAATTGTAAGAAAATCTCTAGCCAGAGCTAGCAAAGCTATCTTCTTGGAGAAAGACGGAAAATAACTGATTAAAATCACTGACTTATGGATATAGTTAGGCCATTTTCTGTTTCAAAAAGCATCTCTCCACCTCCTGCTGCCTAAACACTAAGTTTTTTCCCCCAGAAGTTCCTAACACTCATAAAGAAAGGGAGTAGGAGGGACTTTTAAGTAGGAAATTGTGATCAGTTAGTACTGTTTCTTGCTCACTTTTTGGTAGTGTATGTATTCAGACTTACTTCCATTTGTTGTATTAGTTGCCTGTTTTTAGTTTCCTTACTGAGACAAAATTTTATCAGGAAGCATAGCCTTTCTTTTCTTTTCTTTTTTTTTGGAGGGACAGTATCTTGCTACGTAGTTCAACAGGCTGGCCTTGAACTCACCGCCATGTAGCTGCCGAACTTGTGGCAATCATTCTGCCTCACTCTCCTGAGTGCTGGGATTACAGGCGTGTGCCAGTACGCCTGGCAACATACACGAAACTGATGAAAAGCAGACCTACTCTAGCGGTACCTGAGAAGAAAAAGTTCAGTGTGTTCTTGGTCGCTATGTTTGCAGTTACATAACTAGGTGACTCTGAGTGATTACAATTAGAAACTGCATTCTCTCATCTAACAACCAAATCATATTTCAGTGAGCACTTCAACAATGTTTTAGAATTAATACAACCATGATTTCCTACCTAAGATCAAGGTGTGGAGTAAGGAAGGGGACAAAGGATTGTAAACTGCTCATGCCACCTCTCCTCAGGATGACTGCAAATTCTATTCTGCCATAAGTAAAAGCTGTTAAGGAAGGCAGACCAGTTGCATCATTCTAGTATAAGATGTTCAATTCTAATACTGATGGTTAAGGATTCAAACTGGAGCACCTTACTATCTAGTTATCTGGATTACAGTAGTAATTTGTGACAATCATTAAAGCAATGAGATCCCTTTTCAATGAAATCTTAGGCAAAAGCCAACACAGAAAACAGATAAACAATAAAAATGCTCAGTTTCAAATAGTAACAGAAGGTTGAGTGGCACAAAAGCACCTCAACTAAAAACACAATGTCAAGACAACTATGCTAGAAGCTAGAACAAAAAGAAAAAATATACACAGAAATCTGAACCTAGGAACTGTATTTGCTAAAATTGAGAAAGTTTAATAGATGGGAATTTTTTGAAATGAGATTGGCTTGAGCTTGGGAGTAGTGAGAAGGGATGTAAATGCTGCAGCTAACAGGTCCACAGTGAGAAGGAAAAACTAAACATCAGAACTCTTAGAATTTCTTGTTAAAATTATGATTAACAATTCAGACTCCAGGGGCCATTCTAGCCATTAATATAAGGGCCAAAGTGTATCACAAGCTCAGCAAGAGGGTCCCAATGGTCAAAGACCAAAATCTAACTCAGGAATTGACAAAAAATTTCTTGTTTTGTTTTGTTTTGTTTTTTTGAGACAGGGTCTCACTACATAGTTCAGGCTGGCTTTGAACTTGTGATCCTCCTGCCTCAGCCTCCTGAGTGCTGGAATTACCGGCATACGCCACTATGTCCAGCTGGCAAATTTTCTCTGTAAAGGGCAGCAAAAATTTTAGGCTCGGGCTGGGGATGTAGCTCAGTGGCCTAAGTGCCTGCTTGGCAAGTGCAAGGTTGTGAGTTCAATCCCCAATACCGCAAGAAAAAAAAAAAAAAAAAAAATTTTAGGCTCTGTAGACTACCTGACACTGTCACAACTACTCAATCCCATTAGCACAAAAGCAACTCTACTAACACTAAAACAACCCATAGGTACTACATACATGAATTGGCATGACTGTACTCCAATAAAACTACAAAAATACGTGGTAGGCTGGCTTTGGCTTGTAGGCTAGTTTGTTAATTCCCGACATAGCTAGTGGCCAAGCTCCAAATTAACAGTATACCTCAAGTTCCTCCATAACCCTGGGCCTTTCAACTAAACTCAGTGGAAAGAAAAGGGAAGGAAGAAATGTAGGCAGAATTCCACTTGGTTTGGTTTGTAACTTTCTCCAGTGGCAGGGTTGGGGCTGGGGTGGGGATGAACTCTCGGCCTCACACTCTACCACTGAGTTGAATTCTTAGGCCAATAACTTCCTCCCTAATCTAGTATCTCTATCAAACTATTGTCTACCATGGAAAAAGACCTCTTACTATAATTCTGGGGACACTTACCTTCCCAATTCCCGTTTCTACCACCGACTGCATCTTATTTTTGTCTTTTATTAACAGAATTTCCTAGGTTCTGCCTTTCAGAATTCCAAACCACTTGAGCTCTTAGAAGCCCACCTTTCTTACTGATCTTCTGAAAGCATCAGAAATTTGAAGGAGCCAAAGTATCAGAAAATCCAAGATGTTTCCTGTGTAATTTTCTATACTCAAAACAACACAGGAAAGGTTCTTCCTCCAACTAATATCCAGGTTTCCACTTTATCCAGGGGGCAGGAGGAGGATCTTAGTTGACAGTAAAAATAGCTTCACCTTCATTTTGGCCACTTACCATTAGCTAAGTCTGTTCTACCATCTGTGCTGCTCCCTTTGCTGGACATCTTGAATGATGTTTTCTGTAACCAGCCTAGATTTGGAAGAGGAAGAAAAAGAAATAATTAGAAAAACAACCTGAGGAAGACAGCAAAAAGGACAAGAAGATTTAACAATATAGAGGCTTTGGCATTTTTATAAAAATAGTGTGTGTGTGTTTAACAGGACTTCTCAGCTGCTGAAAAGCACACCAGATACCCTCCTCCTCCAACATCAAATTCCACAGAGGGATATATTTTTGGGAGATCAACAGCCATCTTTTTACTTTATTCACTGAATAACTGGCAGTGTTTCTTTTTCAAACAGGAAAGGGGGAACCAAAATAAAACCTAGAACAGCAGGCACATATCAAGTGACAGGTACTGCAAGCAACGAGCCTCAATACAGAAAGTTAGCTTCAGCGCTGCCCTCTAGGCAAGAGTCTTCCCTTATAAGTGACAGTCTTATGCACCCTCAAACTCAGTAAAACACTTGTTTCACAACATGAAGAGATGAGTCAGGTTCTGAATATCATTTTCCACATAAATCAACAGAGAAGAAACCAAGCTTTTGGTAACAGCCTGTGCTTTATGTCCATTCAAATGCTCAGTTTCAAGCTCATTATAGGCACAGATACCAAGAGTCATAAGAAGCAGAACTAGGCCAGCCGTAGTGATGCACGCCTATAATGCCAGCATTTGGGAGGCTGTGGCAGGAGGATCACCTTGAGTTTGAGGCCAGCCTGAGCTATATAAGCAAGTTCAAGTCCAGCCTATCCCATATAGTGAGACCCTGTCTCAAAAGAAAAAAAAAAAAAGAACTAGAACATGAACTGAGTAGCACTGAACCCCTAAGAAAGACCCTTACTCTTTTTTCTCTGTCTCTTAGGATTAATAATCAGTGACCCAAGTGCAAAGGTAGGAGAGCTAATTTCATATAATAACAAAGATTATTTCACCTTACTCAACGAAGTTGCAGACTTATCTTTCTGGCAAAGCCCTAGCTAAGAACCAGGGTATCTAGCTTGTTTCTTTTATGCCACTATAACACATTCCCCCCCCCAGAGCCACCTCCAGCAAATTCCAAAGAGCAAAGAATAATATTATTCAGGCCAGAATGTTGTTAAGCCCTTTCAGTGCCTTGGACAAAAGGCACTGGTAAAAGACAAAGTATGATTATGACTCTAGCTCTTGTACCCAGGCACATTGGCCTCTAATTTTTCAACAGCCCTTTCATTCCCATAACAATTATTCCAGAAACAGCCCCATCCTTATCCTTATCCCTACTTTCCTCTACAGAAGTCTATGCTGTTCACAAAAAATCACCATCTGCCAAGACACAGTTGCTCAAAGATTGCTCACAGTAGGCCAAGACGGGGAAGCAGAACTACCACAAGCACAGGACTGAGGTTGAATTTGAGGAAAGGACACCTGGAAGGGTGATGATGGAAGACAATGACAAGAAACAGATGTGTGAAGTCATGTAGAGAAAAACAGTGAAGAGCTGTTTGCAGGACAGGTTCTTTAACGCCTCTTACTTTGATGTATGTATTTTTACACAGCATTCCTCACATAGCACTTGCTTTTCTCTTTCTGTAGTCTCAGTTTATATTCTTTAGCACCTCAGCAATATTGTCACCTTCATCTAAGGTTTAAAATTAATTAACTGCAAAAGTCCTATGAATTAGGGCAGATGTTTGCACTTCTCTGGCAGGACTAAAAACTAAGGTCATCGCTTTGTATCATGGTCAATGGGGAATAGAGTTGATGTTTTCCAACTTCCACAATTAAAACTGTCTACCACACATTTCTCACCCCACTATTATCCACTCCCACAGAATAAAAATGCAGCTCCGGAGAACTTTCTCAAAACTAATTATTAACTTCTAGAGTAACCCATACCACTTGAATTTGAGAACTGCTTCATAGAAACAAATTTGCTTTCTCAGCTCCCATGACCAGGAAGAGCCAAAACCTAAACTACTCACTTCTGAGAAGTGGGGAAAGACAGAGGTTCAACCCATACCCAGAGGTTACAGAAGAGTCTTTTAGGGAAATTGGTTTAAGGTTCTTTCAAGAAGGAAACGTCTAAGCTGGGAGCTGTGACAAAAAGTCTATAATCTCAGCTCTTGGGAGACTGAAGCAGAAGGGTAGAAGATCTGAATCCCATCTAAGCAAATTAGCGTGACTCTGGTTCAACGCTGGGAGTGGTGGCACACATCTGTAATCCCAGCGCTGGGGAGGCTGAGGCAGGACTGCTGCAAGTTCAAGGCCAGTGTGGGCTACATAGTGAGTTCAGGGGCAGCCTGAACTATATAGCAAGACCCTGTCTCAAAAAAAAGAAGACTCTGGCTCAAAACAAAATAGGACTGGGGATGTAGCTCAGTGCATAGGCCCCAAGTTCAATCGTCAGTACCAACAAACCAACCAACCAAATTTCTCTTTGAGGAAAATAGTTCACAGAATTTACTGCTAAATTGAGAAACAGAGAAAACCCTGTAAATGCCTACATCAAACATATTTGGTCAATGAACTGATAGGCAAATGGCTTCTAAAAGTCATGTTAGTAGTCACAGATTTTAGAAGTCCAGAAGTATAACATATTAACCAAGACATTAGCATATTTTATGCCCCTGGATGAACTATTTAATTATCCCTGGACTTTATTTCCTCTATAAAATAACAGGTTGAATTTACCCTAAACCAAAAATCCCAAATGCCCCCAAATCTGAAACTCGTTAAGCACTAACATGCCATTCAAAAATTCTGGATTTCAGAGCACCTTTTTCAATGTTCAATTAGTAAGTCTATGCAAATATTTCAAAATTAGAAAAGTACTGAAATGTGAGACACTTCTGGTCCCACGCATTTCAGATGTAGGATATCCAACCTGTAGTAATTTCCACAGATGCGGTAAACAAGTAAAATTTTATGTTAAAAATTCTGCAGAAGGATACTCAGTGGCCTCCAAACTTTGATTATGAACCTCTCTCAGTGAAAACTTTGAGTATAAACTCCCAAGAGGTAAGAAAGAGTTCTCTCTCCTTTTCTATTACACCACATGAGGACACAGCAAGAAAGCTGCTATCTACAAGCCAGGAAATAAAATAAAAACACCTTCACTGGAAACCAATTATGCTGGCACTTTGATCTTAGACTTCTAGCCTCCAGAACTTATGAGAAAATAAATTACTATTGTTGAAATCACCAGTCTTTGGCATTATATTATGTCTAAATTAATGCAGGTAGAGATACCAAATTTGTGGCCCAGAACTCAAAGGACCAGCTTTAGAATGTCTTCTATTCACAAATCAATACAACTTTACTTTTCAATCTGAGGCTAGGGACCATACTTCATCCAAAGCCAAACTACAGTATCTTCTTCACTGTTAGGTGTATATATCCAACCAATCTACTAACTTACTTTGATGAATTTCCATGCAAAGTTCAGTCCAGAGCAAACCATGCTGAACTAGGAAGAGCCGATGAGCTCACTGCCTTAGGTAGCTGGAGGAGTTTAATTAGATTAGCTCTACTGCCTGTACTCTAAAAATAACCATAACCCCTGCCAAACTGAAGGTTAAAGAGTGAACTATGGACGATGGGGAAAAAACACTCAGGTATCATAATTTCACTAACAAATTCCTATGACCTACATTTTTATGTTTTAATAAAAATGAGGCCTCAAACTTTTAACCAACTGCGTGATAAAATCTTAACTAAAACAAAGTGGAAGAAGAGTTAATACATTAGATAAAGGGGACTTTGTAAAACAGGTACCAAGTTTCTCTTGTTTAAAAATCATGGGGGTTGCTTTTTTCCTCAATACTGATGAAAAATCTATACAAGAGAATATGTATGCTAGTACAGTTGGGTGTCCTGATGCAAAAAATACAAGATCAGAACTCTGGGAGGCTGAAGCAGAAAGATCACAAGTTTGAGCCCACCTTGGTCACAGCTAGAAACTTAATAAGGCTCTGTCTCAAAATAAAATCATCATCATAAAAAGAGCTGGGGATGTGCCTTAGTGTGAAGGCCCTATGTTCACTCCCAGTATTGCATAAAAAATAAATAAATAAATAAATAAATAAATAAATAAATAAATAAGGAAAATCTACTTTATATCAAATACCAACAAGAACTAGAGCACTGCCACTCTCATACACTGCTGAGGGAAATGCAAAATGATACAGCCAGCTTGGAAAACATTTTGGCAGTTTCTTACTAAGACAAATTTACCAAACCACTCAGAAATTTCACATTAGGCATTTTCACCTCCTCCCCATGAAGATGTATACCCACAAAACAGGTAAATGTTTTAGCACTCTTATTTACATTCATTTTTTAAAACTGGAAATAACCAAATGTTCTTTAGCTGGGGCATAGTTATACATACTGTGGGAGGCCCACACAGTGGAATATTTCTGGGCAATAAAAGAGAATGAACTAGTGATACCAGCAGCAACACAGGTGAATCTCAGACATGCTATACTAAGTGCAAAAAAAAGGTCATGCTCCAAACAGCTACGTAATATATGATTCCATTTATGGTATATTCTGAAGATAGAACTACAAGGATAGGAAGCAAGTCAGTGGTTGCCAGGGGAGTGAGTTGACTGAAAGAACATAAAAAAATGGTTTGTAAGAAAAGAAATCTATGTTTCAATTACAATAGTGTCAGAATTTGAAGATCATTATAAAAAGGATAAATTTTACCATATGTAAATTATACTGCAATAAATGTACTCTAAAAAAATAAGCAAATGAAAAAAATTTAAAGAAGAAATAAGTAAATGGAAAAAATGGAAGAAGAGCTGTGAGGGAATAAATAAGTCATGCAAATGGTTAAATAACAAATAATATGCAATAATTACATTCTCAGGGCTGTGATTATTAACAGACATTAACTAATGTGGTCAATATATCACAGCAAATGAGAACAAACTATCAGGTCTTCTCATTTGAAAACTAAAGTGCTTGAAGGATTTGTGTTTCAATTAAAGGCACCCATGTGACCTATCAGCAACTACATGAATAGTAAGATGAAACCAAAATA